AAGTGCTTTCCAAAGATTAGCCCTCCGTGGGAGGGAACTGAGGCACTTAGAAGTTAAGTAGCTTGCCCAAGGTTGCACAGCCAGAAGGTGGTGGAGCTGAAATTGAACCCAGGGAGTCTGGCTCTGGCGTCCAAATCCTGCACCACGTCATTGTTCCGGCTGAAATAATGGCAACAGCTAACGTTTCCTGAGTGCCAGGCAGGTGCCACCACATCCCCCTCAGGTGGGTCATCCCCACTGGGCAGAAGTGGCCAGAGCCCAGGCCAGAGCACAAGGCCGCAGAGCCAGGCTTAACCCAGTGTTGCTGCCGGAACCCTTCACACACGCACACTATCATTTTGCTGCCAGAGTGGGGAGTAGCTGAAGTGCCACAGATCAATTTTTTAAAAATTTATCCGTATTTATTCTTTCTCCAGCAAGAGGCTGCATATGATTTCAGGGGAAGAAATGAAAAATCCTTTTTTATTAATTACTACTGAGAACACCTCGCAGCAGCTGTCCCTCCCTCAGCCCCGACTTTTCTGGAGGTTTTTGTGATTATCTCCTTTCCAGAGCACATGGCTGGGCTGCGTCTGGAGGCCACCGGCCAGGCTTTCACTGCGCCGGTGGACGTCAGTAATTTAAACAGCCTTGTTCCAGAGCGATGCCTCCCTTTATTGGTGGAGGTCCCATAGCCCATGATCCAATCCCCCAAACCTTGTAACCCGCCTTCTCCTCCCTCTCCCCCTGCTTTTAATTGGAACTGCTGGCCCCAGGCAGTGAGAATGAAAATAAATGAACTGTGAATGAATTGAATCTCCCCTCGCTTCTCCCTCCCCTGAAATTGCAATTTAATAACAAACGTCAGCCGCCACGTGCTTCCCTCCCTCTTAGGAAAGAACAGACCCTTGGCAGAGTGGAGAAGCATGGGGCTGTCAGGCAGTCAACTCCATCTCCAGTTGAGTGGTCTTGGAATGAAAATGTAGCTAGTAGCATGAGTTTGCTTCTGCTTCTAGCAGGGCTGGTCCTGGCTGCATCTCTGCTGCTTATACAGGGCCATGGGAGAGATGCTTGGGAAGTTGTTACCCCTGGAGATTAGCCCTGACCCCATCACCACGTGCCCTAAGAGTTGGTGTGAAGTCATTTCAGGTGCCAGTGCTGCCTGGGGTTTAGAAGGCTGTGCCATCCCTGATGCCATTGGGTTAGGCTCTCCCAAGAAGGCCTCTTTTGGATGCTCATGGTCATAGTCCCCAAGGCAGATCTCGGGCGAGCGTCCCTGATCTTTCCACACTCTACTGGGCTTGGGAGGCACTGGCACCCGCAGCTCTCACCCTCCTGAACAGCACCCGGGCTCACGCCGAGCCTTCTCTACCCTCACGGCCCCGGTGCTGGAGGACGTGCACAGGTTGCAGAGTGTACACACCAAAGGGAGAGGGCTTTCCCCTTCTCCCCGCCCCCAGCTCACAGGAAATTCCTGCAGTGAGAATCGAGGGCAGGTGGGCAAAAGAAACAGTGAAGCGGACCTATTTATATTACATAAACAACATTTATAGCAGGAAAGAAAATAAAATTGTTCCCATATGCCCTCAGCCAAATGTATCTATTTTTATTATGTTTCCTTCCAGTCTTTGTCTAATTGTAGAAACATTTTGCCAGCAGTAATCATAGTGTGGATAACATTGTGGTTATGGTCTTTCATTTAACTTTTCAGAAGATATTTTTCCATGTTCTTACATGGTTTTATAATCATACTTTTAATGACTACATTATGATGTGTCATTATGCTTTATGCCCCTTTGTTGAATATTTAAATTGTTTTTAGTACTTTACTGTTACAAAAAGTACTATAATGTACATGCATTTTTTTCTTTCTTTCATTTTATTGCCGTCAGAAATCGTGTGAAATTATTGAGCCAAAAAGTATGAACATTTTTGTGGCTTATGATACATAAGACCATTTTCTTTACTAAAAGGATAATATCCATTTTCATTGCTACTGGTATCATATACACAGGCCTATTTTAAATCATAAACTTGAGGTAATAAAAGTCATTTTTAAATGCTTTGCTAATTTAATGGGAACAAAATGATTGTGTGGTTTTAATGTATACTTCTTCGATTGCTGTTGAGATGAAACTTTCTCCATATTTGTTTGTATTGCCTCTTAGGTGATTTGTTTTTTCATATTCTTTGAATATCTGCTAGAGGCTTGGCATTATTCTTACCAATTTATAGGAATAACTGATACCTCCCGAGGTCCACCAAATTAATGCTTTAAACTTAAATGTGGTAATGAAAAAAATCTGCAAATATAAATTTAATATGTATTACGTAATCACATGTCCAATGAAAATAATACATTTTTATAGTGCTTATTATGTACCAGGCACAATTCTAAGCATTTGACCCAGCTCGCTGATATAGGTACTATTTTAATCCCATTTTATAGATGGAGAAACTGAGGCAAAAGAGGTTATTAGGAAACTTGTCCAGGCCCAATCTGGTAGGTGAGCCAGGCTGCAGAGACAGGCAGTCTGGCTTCCGCATCTGTGCTGTGAGCCCCAAACTAGATCTCCTGTTGGTTAGGGGTGACAGCCCGCAAAGAGGGCAGCAGGGAAGTCCTGATCTGGGGAGCGAATCAGATCTGTGCACCCAGTCCCAGGGACGAGGTCGAGTCCTTGGCATATTGGCGCCTTGGCTCCTGTGAACTAATTGCTCACTATTTTAAAATGAATTGAGAAGTGAACAGATGTAAGAAATAAACTTGTATGTAGCGAGATACACAGCTTGTTGCTTTAGGAATTGTTGCCGAGAGTTTCTGAAGGGCTGTGTGTGTGTGTTTCCAACTGTATATCTCGGTGGGGACCTCCTTCACTGCTCGGGTCCAGCGACACGACATACGCCCGCCATCTCTCCCATCAGTTTATGCTGTTTACCAATCATCGCCTGCGTGTGACTTGGTAGGTTTCTTGTGACCACTGGTTCTTGGATCATAGGAACCTATTTTATTTGCTTTAGGTGGGTTTAATGGGTTTAATTTCAGTGTTTCCAACTTATATGCTGAATAATGAAGTTCCAGAACTTTGGACACCACAGTAGGATGAGCATTTAAATCATTGCTCTGTTGGGTGAGGAAATAAATGTGGACAGACAGGCAGGCAGGATGCATTTATTAGTGAGGCTTTATTGATTTAAAATTTTTAATATAAAAATAGTTGAATTCTACCCAGAAACAGTTATTTAAGAAAATCCGTGGAGGACTGTTTACCCCATCTCTCCCTCTCAACCCCCACCACGCCTCCTCCATCCACCAGGTTTGAGATGTGTCTTTGTAGAAATGTGGGCTGGTAAAGGTGTAATCACAAACAAGCCAGCAGAAATCACAGTGCCCTAATTCTGTTTCCATGGGCACCAGGGGTATTCGTGACTTTCAGTTGCCTGAACGAATTGTAGGGAACCTGTATATTTTGAATTGTGGCCTTTTGATGTCTTCGGTAGGGCAAGAATTATCCATCTCAGCACCGTCAGTTTGAGCTTTCAGTTTAGTGTCACAAAATGCGGTGAACTCTGAACTGGTCTCTCCTCCATATCATTCTAAGTACAAACGGAACTGCGAATCCTGGTAGACAGTGTCCTTTGGTAAGAGGAAAGGACTCGCCTAAGGAGCGTGGAGGGGGCAAAGGAGATGTGCTCAGGACCCTGAGAGAGGAACTTCCACTCACACCACTGAACAAGCGACTGGAATTCCACGTTTAATCTAACAACTGTAGGTGGCACCATCTGCCCCGAGGAGGCCACGCTCTGGAGCGGGAGTTGATCAGGCCTGCTTTCCTGCTGAGTTGGTCTCGGGATTCTAAGAGATGAGCTCGTCTTGTACCGTTCAGCCCTCGCAGAGAATGGGCTGGTTGTGTGTCACCAAAGGCAGCTTCCTTCATGAAGTCAGATCTATGCTGAGGCAGCGGCCGGGTTTTGAAAGAGAGGTTCAGCTTTTCTCAGCAGGGCTTCCTGTGATGGTGGGAGAACTTCCCAACAAGACTGATGAGGCAGCTCGCCCACTGCGGACCCACCTGTTGCCGCGCTGACCATGGGGCAGCAGCTGGGTTCGGTTCTGACTCGTGCCCTGGAGGGTGCGCTTGTGCACACACCACAGCTGTGTGCTGTGGCCTGGAAGAGACCCAGTGGTAACACAGCCCAATAAGAGGGCAGAATGTCCAGCTCAGATAAACGACCCGCTGTTAATGTAACTTACTGGTGGTGTGTATTTTATTTAACCTGAGCTTTCTTGCTGCCTGTTTTGGGTTGCATCTCTGTCCCCTCACTGTGCCACACAGACACACTGGGCTCCTTCTTGCCTCCATCCTTCAGCAAACAGTCACTGCCCCCTTCTCCTCGCTTGGCTGTCTCCAGTTCATCCTTCAGGTCTTAGTTTAGACATTGCTTCTTCCAGGAAGTCTACCCTCATCTCCCAAGTTTGAAGGATCCCGTTTAGGGACCCTCATAGCATCTTAAACTTCTCCATCACAGCACTTCATACACTGTGATATTGTACTTGCTGTTTCCTTGTCTGCACTTCTTCATTAGCACATAAACTTCTTGAGGCAAGAAATATGTTTGTCTTGTTCATAGTTGTATTCCAAAGATCTAGCATAATACCTGGCAGCCAGTAAACGGTTACCGAAGAACAAATTCATAAATGCATGCATACTAACCCTTGTTGGTTGGTGGATTCTGAATATTGCTGTGGCTTGGTTTTATTGGTTGTGACAGGTTTCACCGTTGAATAAGTGACCTCACAAATGTGAAAGGCAAATCCCTGGTGAAATACTGCAGGAGGCGGTGTGGTGTTTCTTAGCAGTCTCCTCGCGCCTGGCTGGCTGGCTGAGGAGAGCCCACCTGGATGGAAGCAGTGGAGGCCTGTGTGACTCACTCAGATGATGCTTTCAGAGCTGGAGAGAGATCTGGCCTTGGGGAAAGTGGCTAAGTTCTGAAGCATGCTAATCTCCTTCTCTTGCCTTCTCCAGCATTGGAAGACTCAGCACAGCGAGGAGTACGAAGCGGAAGGTAGGAACTGAGCGTGCGCCTGGCCTGCTTGGGAAGGAAGGCTGCCGGCCCCAGTCTCCACCCCCTTCCTGCGCCTCTTAGCCTTCTTCCTGACAGCCTTGCATGCTGGCGGCCAGCTAAGAAGTGACCTTGACCACAACAGCAACAAAAAATTCATTCCTAATTGATAGCTCGTAATTTTAAAATCCTAGCATTTAACATCATGCAAGATACGGCAACTAAGACGCAGAATTTCACGTATGGGCTAATTACTCTTCTACAGACTTTCAAATTAATCTGTGGGCAGTCCTAAACTAAATGGTGACCTATTAAAATGCACCCCTTGACAAATTTCAGATGTTTTTGAGAAGCATCGAAACGCGTTGGTCTGCTGGCCAGCAGGTGGCGCTGTGGTTCAGGGGACAGAACCCAGCCTCCCACTGCCTCCCCGTTCATTACCTGTGCTCAAGAGTAATGACAGTGTGTCCTCTGCGTCCCCAACCCGCAAAGACGCAGCAGGAATGGGCTCATTTCTTCCAGAAATAGTAGAGGTAGCACTAAATGCTCTTCTCAGCCCTCTGAGGTTCTTCCAGGCACACAAACTTGCACCAGTAATTATCTATGTTTAAGTAATGGCTTTGCAGAATCTGCAATATGTAAGTGGAAAATTTAACTAGAAGTGAGAACTTAGTGGAGGATAGATTTTGATTTTTAAGTAAGTGGTTTGATCCTTAAGTCTTCAAATAGAACTTATGCTTAATCTGTAGATAATTAGTAACTTGTTCCTTGCAACCATTTATTCTTTCAAGTGGGACTGTAGGTCAGAATGCTTATGTGTGTAAAGATTTGGGAGGAGGCTGATCTTGTGATTTTTGTGATTATTTTATGACATTTATCATGAAGTTATTTCCTTATCACTAAAAGCAATTCTGGTGCTTAGACTAGAAAGAAAGTGGAGACAGAATCTGGCAGCCCTAGTTGAGGCAGGGCATGTGGAATGGCTGTCAACCAGCCTTTTCTTCCCATCACACCGAAGCCTGGGGCTGTGCGTGTGTTCAGTTGGAATAACAAGCCTAGACCCGGGGCGTGACTGCCTAGGACGTGGCGTTTCTTACGCGGGTGTGACTGCCAGTGAGCAGCAGTGCCTCGTGGCTCCAGTTGCAGCCTGAGGACCAGTGGTTCCATTTCATTTGAACTTCAGGATCAAATCAAAATGGACTCAACATTTACAGTCTTTTTTCTTATAATACTTTCAAAAACCACATTTTTCTTTGAGAATAGGCTCTCTTTGTCATTCCTTTGGGGACAAGACAATGTATGCTTTATTTCAGGCCAGTTGAGATTTTGGAACCCAGATGATTTGAATGCCTCACAGAGTGGGTCATCCCCTCCCCAAAACTGGATAGAAGAGAAGCTGCAGGAGGTTTGTGAAGACTTGGGGATCACCCGTGATGGTCACCTGAACCGAAAGAAGTTGGTCTCCATCTGCGAACAGTATGGTTTGCAGAGCATCGATGGAGAGGTAGGCCTTGCATCAAATTTTTATTCAAGAATAATAATCATGATGAAAGCTGCACTGGCCACAGGCTAGGAACAGCCATACTAGGGCTTCCTGCAGCTTGTTCCAGAGACTCCATCCTTTTTTTTCCCTAGGAAGTAGTCATGAAGGGTCTGTCTTTGAGGAGCTCACCTTGTTCTGTAGAAAAGAAAAACTGATGATAGCTGATGCTGACTGAGCCCATACTGTATGCCCTCACTGTGCGAAGCACGTTACCCCGCATTATCATCAGACGCCAGCTCAGTGCAGCTCTGACATCTGATATGTCTGCAGACGTGGCCTCCACAGAGCCAAGTGTGGGAGAGGCGTGGAGGAAGGAGGAAGCAGGGAGGGAGTTCACTAGATTTGAGTTGGGGAATATTTTGAAACCCAGGCTGATGAGTTTAGGTTTTTGGAGAGAAGTCTCAATATCAACGCTGGGTTCTTCAGCAGATTGAGTAACATCTAGGAAAAACTTACTTTTACGGGCATATTGGCGTAAAGAGAGCCTCTGGTTAGGAGACCAGCCAGGAGCCGGCATGATATTCTGGTCATGAGGAAATGGAAAAGGGAAGATTGGTGGTTTGGAAGATAGAAAGAAATGTTGAAGGAGCCCCCAAAAGACTCTTGCTTATTAAAACTCAGAGCTTTACGTTTTCTGAAAAATTGAAAGGAGCACTAGCAGGACTGGGTGCATGGAGAGCTGTGAAACACAAGAATATAAATAATTCCAAGATATGCCTTTCTAAGAGCCAAAAATAGGATTGGAGGGACTTGGAGGTTAGGGCTACAGTCATAGCTTTGTGAATCTTGGATTATAACGATATTTGAAACCATGCTGTCTGTGGGCTCGTGTGATAAGTGGTATTATTTGCCTAAACCAGAAAGAGATTTATCTTCCAAGTAGTCTGGCTGCAGAAAAGCTTTTTTTCCCTTTTCCCTTGTGTACGTGGCCGTTATATACGCAGCGACTACTTTTGTAACGGCTCAGTGGTCATTGATTTTTCAGTGGCGGCTGTTGAGTCATAAAATTAAATTCACTCCTCCTAAATTATGAACCAGGGCCGTGTGCAGAACTTGGGTTGTTTTTGCCAAGAAATGTTGCACAAACTTGGGTTATTTATCTAAGAACAGTCCTTGGAATACGCTGTAGCCATGTGCCGGGAGTTGCACATTCTTGCGTGTGGAGTTTGTAAAACCTGGGAAGAGAAGTAGCACATTAGTTATTGTCCTCTGAGCTGAGGATGAATAAAGGATTGCTTATTGAATATGGCTTTTGCTTAGTGCTTTTCCTCAAAAAAAAAAAAAAAATCATGAAACACTGTAGTGCTTTGTATTCCTGGCTCTAGACCACAGAGGAGCTGAAAGTGCACGATGATCTCAGCAACATGCAACTTGGATCCTGGAGTTTTACGAGTGAAAGCAATTGTAGGCTTCGTCCCCCTCACTTTATGGGTAAAGGAAGTGAGATCATTGCTGCTTGTTGCCGTTTTCATGAAGGGACCAGATTCACTGCCTTGCAGCTGTAACTAGTACTCTGCTCCCCAGAAGCCAGGGTGACTATGGGTCAGGGATGACAGGCTGTCACCCTAGATGCCAAATGTGGCCCAAAGGCTATTTTATTTGGTCTGCCCAATATTTTTAAAAATTGGACTTTTGTTGCGCTCTTTAAAATCAGGAGATTTTGCTAAAAATCAGAAGATTTGGCTCCATCTTGCTGGCAATGAGAAGCGACCAGCTCCTTCGCACAGGGCATGCATTCCCGTGTGTTCTGTTTGCTGCTTTAAATGTCACTACTTTCTAATGCCCTAGCCCCTCTGCCTTGCTGGTTGGCATCACCCTCCTGGCCCCTCTGGGTATTTAGGTTTGTGATTCGTATTCTAGTGCATTATTTCCCGACATACTCATGGGAAACCCACCATCCAGAGACCTGGTCAGCGTATCCTGGGGAGTGAGAGTGCCCTCGGCTCTGGACGTGGTTGCTGCATAGGCTGCAGAGGACACTTCACATGCCCACTTCACTCCATTCTTTCCAGCCCAGCCCTGCCCGCCCACCCTCATCTGAATCCATGTCCTTTCATTCACCACTTGCCCTCCATCCTATACAATAATGGTGGGACTGACTTGCTCCTGTATTCTGAATGGGTCAGGTGATGGGTGTCTAGGAAATCTGGAGGCTGCGTGTTGATTTGGCCAAGGTCACAAGGCAAAGTGGTATGGAGCTCAGGTTAGAGCCAAAGCGTGCTCCTTAACTTCAGCACACCCAGATTTTGCTGTGCTTCCTGCTTTGATGGTCCTGAAAGCCCAGTGCTCTAAGAAAGTGTTCTCTTGGTTGATAAGAACAAGACAGAGAAGCTAAGGAGTCTTGGCAACCTCAGAACCTTAGCTAAGCAACCTGTACCTTGCTTCTTCCAAAGATTTCCACTCTCTAGAATGATTTTCCTGTTTCAGAGTCCTCTCCAGAGGAAGTGGTATAAAAACAAGAATAGAAACAGATGTTTCCTATTGGAAGTGAATTGGAAAAAAGCATTTGAGGTAAAAGAAATGCCTCAAGCACTTACAAGAAGAATAAAATCAACAGTTGTAAGATGGCATGAATCCTAGCAATAGTCCAGATTTATGAAACGAATATTGAAAATTTGAAGATGTTACAGAGAATTAAGGCTTTTGTTAGAATGGATCCAGTTGGTAGGTTCTGATGTAACAAGAGTAAATTGTTGCTTATTCTGTCTCTTTGCTACTCAGTGACATGGGTACACCTGAGAGCTTCTTAGAAATGCCGAATCTCAGGCCCCACCCCTAGACTTACTGTGTCAGAGTCTGTCCTTTAACAAGATCCCCAGGGGATTTCTGTTTTATGCGTTTGAGGCATGTTCCTGTAGAAAAATGTTAGCCCCCAAAATAAAGAGGAATCCGACTGCCAGCAGGAAGGAGGTCTTTGCCTGCCTTCCCTGGTTTGTGGCCTCAGTGACTCACACTGCCTCAGTCCCCTTTCCATTCCTCTGTTGAGCGAGGGAGCAAGCCTGGAGGAGGGGCTCTGGTCCAGCTTCCCCTTCCCCATTATATAAGGAGCACTACTTGGTTACTGTCAGAGACGGCATAAAAGCCAGTCAGAATTCCCTTCTCTTTATGTCTCTGGAAACTTTCTGTGGCACATACACCAATTCTTCTTATCCAGTCTTTGTTTCTTCTGTGTGAAAGCACTAAAACAAATAAAAACCCCAAACACGCAGTGTTATTCCAAGTAACGTTCTGACTCCCAAGTCATGGGTTTCAGAACCAAACTCTTAGATCATTGCTCTCCACCCCAGACCAAATTCTGCGGTGCTAACATAGTGATTTCAAAAATTCAATGTAAGCAAAATATGTGGAGTCAGCATAGCGTAACGGCTTAGTGAATGTCCAACTAATTTCTTTTATCACAGCACTGGGAAGCTATATCTTTATATTTTCAAAGTAATTTTTTAATTCGTAAGAATAATGTTTAGCAATGTTAAAAATTACCTGTTCTAAGAGTGTGAGTAGAAGAGGAAACAGTTCATTGCTAAATTGAGTAAGATTATGAAGATGCTGAAAATGGACTTTTGTTTAGCTTGTGTGAGGAAGAAGGACATATTACTGGAAAGGAAAATAAATTCAACGAAGTGAGAATAAAGGGGCATATTGTATTTCTGGAGTCCTGGGATCAACAGAGGTGCCAATTTCTGTTGGCCAGGGGTGTACTTTGGGCCTTGGCTTATTTTGAGTGAAATACTTAAAATACGTGGTTACCGTTTTCTAGATGCTCGAGGAAGTCTTCCATAATCTTGATCCTGATGGTACAATGAGCGTGGAAGACTTTTTCTACGGCTTGTTCAAAAATGGAAAATCCCTTCCACCGTCAGCGTCTACTCCATATCGACAGTTGAAAAGGCACCTCTCCATGCAGGTAAGAAATGGTTTCTTTGTGAGTAGAAGTTAAAACCCATTTCAGTAATTTCTAATGAATTAATCTGCTGTCTGAAGAAAAATGCTGATGAGAAAGAGAGAAGCAAAAGGAGAGTCGGAAAGAAAGACTAAACTATTGGGAAGGAAAAGTTGGGTTTGAGAAATGACCATAAATTACAGAGTGGGAAGACCACTAATTATGCCCCTTAATGTCAGCTGTGGGTCAGACGAAACCTGGTGTTAAGTAGAGACACATCTCGTCTATGTCAAGGAACTCTCTGCCAGATCAATTGTTTTTGATAAGCTTTGCATTCTTGCCTCACTTGGAAAAGGAGATCAAAGGGGCTGCGTGACTTTTTTGCAGCAGTGTCAATTATGGAAACATGCTTTCTGCTCATCGTGGTCAGGACGGACCAGTTTCAGTCCTCACCAAGGTCTTGTTGAAATTCCTGAGCTTGCTCAAGTCTCTCTCTTCTTCCAGTCCTTCGATGAGAGTGGACGACGTACCACAACCCCATCAGCGATGATGAGTACCATTGGCTTTCGGGTCTTCTCCTGCCTGGATGATGGGATGGGCTATGCCTCAGTGGAGAAAATTCTCGACACCTGGCAGGAAGAGGGCATTGAGAACAGCCAGGAGATCCTGAAGGTGCGGCAGCTAAAATGGGAGAAAAATAACAAATTGGGGCAGGATTGGAAAATTGCACTGTTTTTTGAAACTGATTTGATTTGGTTTTTCCTTAATGATTCTTCTGTTCACAAGATCTCAGAGACAAGAGAGAACTTTTCCTACCCCCTTTAACCAGGAGTCTGTTGCTAGTTATTTTCCACATTTTTAAGCCCTAAATTATTGACAAGAAAAATGGTCTTAACTGATCCCTGGTTGGTAAAGATTAAACTACTGTGTTCATTTATAGTGCCAGATAGTATTTTTTTAAACATGCCAATAACCATGCTATGCTTTCCTTAGAGAGAACTTAGTTATGTTCTAGATTAAAGATTGTTCCTTAGCAATCACTAAAGATATATAATCATGCAGCTTCTAGATGGTAAATCCAGTTCTCTGTGTTTGTTTGACCTTCACAGCTTCTGCTTTTGGAGCACAGGACTAGTGATTGTCTTGACCTTGTTCTGATTTCTAGGCCTTGGATTTCAGCCTTGATGGAAATGTCAACCTGACAGAATTGACGCTGGCTCTTGAAAATGAACTTTTGGTCACCAAGAACGGCCTTCACCAGGCGGCTCTGGCCAGCTTTAAGGCTGAGATCCGGCATCTGCTGTGAGTTGAGTGGAAGGTTCACTCGCTCCGTCCCTTTCTGTTCTTGTCCAGCGGGTCATTCAGATGCTGAGACACACGTCCTTCCGCGTGTGCAAGTGGGGCTGACCTCCATCATCTCACTGCTGTGGAACGAGGAAGCTTCAGATCGGCACATGGGCTTTCAGGGATGTGGTGGAATGTCTTTTTGTTTGTAAGGGTTTGGGTTGTCTTGGTTTTGTTTTTGTATTGAAGCAAGCCAAATGAGAGTTTTTTTGGGTCTACTTGTTGCTTAGAAGCAGTTTCCCTTTAACTCTGTTTATTTCTGATTCTAGGGAGCGAGTTGACCAAGTGGTCAGAGAAAAAGAGAAGCTACGGTCAGATCTGGACAAGGCTGAGAAGCTCAAGTCTCTGATGGCCTCAGAGGTGGACGATCACCACGCGGCCATAGAACGGCGGAATGAGTACAACCTCAGGTGCGACCGGTAGGGCGAGGCCCCTGCTTTCTCGCCATCCAGGCCCAGGGAGTGGGGCTCAGCCTGCCTGCTTGGCCACACCTGGCTGGAGTGACTCAGGTGTGGCCAAGCCTAGAGGAAAGCAGGACACATCATATGCCTTCTTAAGGAGCTCCATCTCTGTGACTTTGTTTCCCTTTTTGGTGGATCTGCGTAGGGGCCTCTGAGGGATTTGATGGCAGCTTGTCGGTCTGTCCTACCCCCAGGAAACTAGACGAAGAGTACAAGGAGCGCATAGCAGCCTTGAAGAGTGAACTCCGCAAAGAGAGAGAGCAGATCCTGCAACAGGTGGGCAAGCAGCGTCTGGAACTCGAGCAGGAAATCGAAAAGGCAAAAACGGAAGAGAACTACCTCCGGGACCGCCTCGCCCTCTCTTTAAAGGTAATCATCCCCTTAGTCTGTGTCCCTGCCGGGGGCACCATGGGGGAACCGTGGCTCTGTAAGAGGGCAGGTCTGCACAGGGCTCAGTCCGAGGACTCTTGTACGTTTGCCCAGCTGGGTCCTGACCCAGACATGGCTGAGACCCACTGGCGTCTGGATTTGGGGGGTATCCAGGCTTCTGGTTTGCCAACAGTGTCGATTAATGTGTCTTGTTCTTCTCAGCTGCTGAAGTTGCACTGGATGCTCAGGCTGTTTGGAACCTGGTTGATACCCTCTGCCTTCCCCCCTTCCCCCTTGTTCTTAGCAGGTGGCCTTGTCTCCTGCCACACAGCAGCCACCAGCTTTGTTTCTCTGCTTCCAGGTGTTCCTCTGCCTTGTACTTCCTCCTCTCCTTTCCTGTGCCACCGGAGAGGAAGTGACCCTCCTCTTTCCTGGACCCTGACACCAATTATACAGTGCAGTGTAGTCTAGAGATAAAGCAGGGGCTCTGGACTCAGACTGCCTGGTTCCAATCTGGATACCACTACTTCCTGGAAACCCTTGATCAAGTTCCCCAAACCTGTTTCCTAACGTACAACATGGGCACCATTGTAAGACCAACCCCATGGCATTGATATGGGGATTAAAGGAGATGCTACAGATACAGTCTCTGGAAGCTCATAAGTACATAGGCGATAGTCACTATTGTTGAGGTTATGAAAGTTCCTCAAATTCCACACATCAAAAATTGAGCTAATTCTTGCTCCCTAACCAGCAAAATGCTTCCTCTCCAGAATTTTCTCCCTAATCTACATCATCACCATGTGCTGCAAGTCACGGAAGCTAAAATCCTCAGCCATCCTCACTCATCAGCCTTAAGTCCTGTTGATGCTCTGAAATGCCTCTCAGATTTAGCCTTCTCCTCTCCATTTCCACAGCCTCTGAATAGGCTCAGAATTCATCACGATTTCTGAGCCGGCTTACGCATATCCTTTTTTCTATTTAACTTCCGTTTTGCCACCAGAGCCACCTCACTAAAGAACACTTGCCACCATGCCGTTACCCTTTGTAAAGTGCAACATGGTAGCACTGAAGGCCCCTGCACGGGGCTCGTCCCCATCCTTTTCCAACTTCAGGTCCTGCCCGCAGCTGCCAGTGTGTGCCTGCAGCCCCTCTGAACGTGCCACTGGCTCTCATTCCTCGGTGGGCTTCATGCCCCTTCATTGCCTTCTCCAATACCCCAGGCCAAGTGACTTTTTTGTTCCTGTCACACTCACTTTTTTCTTGCCAGAAGACAGTGCATTTCCCATCGCATCATGGATGACTTCATCCTTGTCTGTCCCCTCCCCACCATCCAGACTGTGTGGACAAGTGACAGAATCTGGTTCCTGTTTCCAGAGCCCCAGCACAGGCCTGACACACCGGGCTTGCTCCTGATTGTTTTGACATCTAAATTTAAACATACTTTGAAAGACTAGAGTTGAAGACTTGGCATTTTGGGGGAAGGTAGTATTTTTTTTTTTAATGCTTCGAGCACATCCTTTTTTACTCCATATTGCTGTGTGAGGGTGTGAACTAGAATGTATTAAAATATACTGGCTCTATATTCTTTTGGCAAAGTGTACTTTGAAAATAATGTTCTTCCAATTAGCTTTTAACATTGGAATAGAAAATACATCAAATGACATGTCTGTATGGTTTTATTTCATTTTTTAACAAATATGGGTGGAAATCTCTAACAAATATTATATGTACAGGAAAAAAACCCACCTTTTGGACTTCAGTTGATGTATTTTATTATAATAATTTAAACATATACCAATTACGAAAAAACTCTATGTGTAGCTTTTACATCTTTAAACCAAAATAAAATTGTAAATGAAATATAAACCAAACTATATCATCACTAAGTGAGAATTGATTTTAGAGTTATTCTACTTTTTACAGTTTTTCTGTGTTCTCTTTTGCTGTCAGCCGAACAAGGTATGCTGCAACCAGTTTGTTTTCATTTGACAATATATTGAGAATTTTTTCCTGTCATTAAATTTTCTCCTGCAATGCTGTCCAGTAGAGATATAACGCAAGCCATCTATGTAATTTCCAATTTTCAAAAGCCCCATTAAAAGGTAAAAAGAAACAGGTGAAATTAATTTTAAATCACTTTATTTAATCCATCTCCAAAATATTATCGTTTTGACATGTAATCAATATAGAAGAATTATCACCGAGCTGCTTTACATTTTTGTACTAACTCTTTGGACTCTGGTGAGTACTTTACGCTTACAGCGCATTTCAGCGTGTACTTCACGTATTTGAGGTGCTCGGTGTCCACGTGTGACTGCTAGTGGCTGTCATGTTGGACACAAAGTTCCACAGCATTAAAAAAAGAGGAGGAAGACTCCTCTTGGATAAGATAAATATCAATTTTTATATTTACTTTTGTCTAATCTAATAAAACTTTCAGGATGGAACAAATTTTCTCAGCTAGAGCACTGTTGTATGCATCATATACAATGGTGCAACGGTTTGCTTCTGTTTTCGTCTTGCCTGTTTAATGTCTCCATGTCTCTTCAGGAAAACAGTCGTCTAGAAAATGAGCTTCTGGAAAACGTAGAGAAGTTGGCAGAGTATGAGAATCTGACAAACAAACTTCAGCGAAATTTGGACAATGTGTTAGCAGAAAAGGTAAGTCTGTTTGAATTTGATTTCCTCATAAGAAACTCAAAGTGCAGTTGCTCAAAGGACAGGAGCAGCGCCACCCAGAACATTGCTGGTAGGGGATTCTTTAGGGGCTAAAGGAGTTGTCCTTTCCGCAGGGACCAAATCTAGCAGGTTGGACATGAGGGAATCATTGCATGGTGCTGAGAAGTGACCCTGCCTTAGCCAAACACATCACTCCAGCACGTTCTCCACATCCTCCAGCTGGTGGTGTCTCTGCTTAAGTGTCACATTCCTTTCATCCTCAGGTGACTGGGTGGGCACGGGAACAGGCCTGTGATATGTCATAGGTCGAAGGAGGACACTTGGGAGATGACAGCTTTGCCCTTCTTCTTTCTAGTTTGGCGACCTCGACCCCAGCAGTGCTGAATTCTTTCTGCAAGAAGAGAGGCTGACGCATATGAGGAATGAGTATGAGCAGCAGTGCAGGGTGAGTGACTGAGGAGGATCTGGTACGCAGGGGAGTGCCTGGGATCCAGTCCCCTCACGTTCACTAGCCGTGGACCAGGAGTGAGTCCCTTTACCTGTGGGGCCTCAAGTCCTCGCCTACGAGATGGTAAAGTAGGAGTACCCACAGACCAGGGCTATTGTCGAGATTCATGAGTGAGTCTATGTAAAGTGCTTAGAACAGAGCCAGCGACTTAGCGTGTAACATAGTGTTAGCTGTCAGTATTATTATTTAGTATTCTGACATATTAGGGAATCATGCAAACTGCATTTGTCTGCCTTATCCAGGGAAGAAATCGTTAGTGCTTAGAGGAAAATAGAGTTTTATCCCAAGTGAAGGAATTCGTGGTCCTGCTGATGGGCTTATTCCAAAATTAGCCTTTCCTGGTCCATCACTGCAAACCTGGTCCTTGTCCTGTGAGTTTTTTTCAGAATACATTGCTTACTTTTATTTACAAAATGCAAATGAAACCGAAACTGTTCAAGTGTTTAGCTGGTAAATCATTACAAATTCCTACCAGAAGAGACAAAACTTCCTTATAAATAAGAGGAATCTTTGATGTTTTTTTAAAAAGTAACGCTCCTAATCTTTGGAATTTGGGTTTTTCCCTTAAACCAGAAACACTTGCTTATTTTAGCAAGGTAAGCATAGCTGAGTTCTGGCTGCTTTCGATGAAGACTGTACCCATGTGGAGATGAGATAAACCATGACTTCCTTGTGAGGTTGCCCATGGCCTGCCTTCTCAGGTGTCTGCACACTGAGAAAAGAAAGGAAACGTTTGTGCCGCTTGACAGTTAGGTTTTGGCTCTTGGCCATAATCAAGTAGAAGTGTTTTCTTTATGTCTTGAAAGTTAATTGTTTCATCAGTACAATCGATTAGCTCTGCTTCCCCAAATCCATCCTCTTCTTTATTTTTTTAACAGCTTTTCATAACCATACAAGTCACCCATTTAAAGTGTACAATTCAGTGCCTTTTAGTATATTCGCAGAATTGTGCAACTGTTACCATAATCAATTTTAGAACATTTTCATCACCCAAGAAGAAGCTCCCACTCCACTTAGCTGTAATCTCTCTCATGACCCATAGCTCTAGGCAACTAATAACCTGCTTTCTGTCTCTATAGATTTGCCTATTCTTTACATCTCACCTAAATGGAATTCTACAATATGTGGTCCTTTGTGACTGGCTTTCTTCATTTAGTATAGTGTTGTCAAGGTTCGTCCATGTTGTAGTACATCCAATGTATCAGTACTTCATTTCTTTCAGTTGCTGGATAAAATTCCATTAGGTTGCTATACCACATTTTATTCATCCATTCATTAGCTGACGGACATTTCGGTTGTTTTGAATATTATGAATAACGCTGCTGCGAACGTTTGTGTCAAGTTTTTTGTATATTCTGTTAGGTATACATCTAGGAGTAGAATTGTTGGGTCATATCATCACTGTACGTTAAACCTTTTGAGGAACAGCCAAACTTTTTGCAAAGGGTTTGCATTATTTTACATTCCCACCAGTATGAGAGTCCCAATTCCTCCACATCCCTGTCAACACTTGTTACTGTCTGTCTGTTTGATTCTAGCCATCCTACCAGGTGTGAAGTGGTATCTCATTGTAGTTGTGATTTGCATTTCCCTGATGCTAATGATGTTGAGTATCTTTTCATGTGCTTGTTGGTGTATCTTCTTTGGAGAAATGTCTATTCAGATCCTTTGCCCAATATTTAAATGGGCTATTTATCATTAGTTCTTTATGTATTCTAGTTACAAGTCTCTTATCAGATATATAATTTGCAAAAACTTTGCTTCCATTCTGTAGGTTGTCTTTTTACTTTCTTGATGGTATCCTTTGAAGTGCAAAAGTTTTAAATTTGATGAAGTCCTATTTATCTATTTTTTCTTTTGTTGCTTGTGCTTTTGGTTTCACATCGAAGACTTGTGTCGATTTTTAAACTCCAGGTATTACAAGACCAAGTGGATGAGCTCCAGTCTGAGCTGGAAGAATATCGTACACAAGGCAAAGTGTTCAGACTTCCCTTGAAGAACTCTCTGTCAGAAGAGCTTGATGGTCACAGTGGGTGCACTGAGCCTGACCGGGGTAAGCCATTCAGACACCATCTTTACAGTGTCTGCCTTTGACTTTTGTTTTTTTCTAAAAAGTGTAAAATTGAGTATAAAATCTCAAAACTTTGGCAACCGAAAAAAAAGACTTTGGCAATACTATTTTCTTGAGCTATTTCACTTGTGGTCTGGTTTTTCATTTGTCCTTGAAGTGTTTATGAAACTATTTCTGTCTGATTTTGATATGCATCAACAAAGGAATGGAAAAATCAAACCACAGGGGTATTTGCTTTGTTTAAAAAAAAAACAGCTGGCCACAGTCTGAGAGTCCAGGCCGGGGAGTGTTAGAATTCAGACACTGAGCCTGAATCCTGCCTTTCTAAGATTGCCAACTGGTATGACGATGGTTTTGGAGAATGGGCCAGCCAGAAACCACAGAATTTGGTTTCTTAACTCTGGCTGTGCTAAATGTCTGCAAAACAACAAATAAAATAATTAAGTGTTGGTTGCCTACATTCACTCTCAGCTCTTTTCCTCACTCCTGATATCCTGCCTCTTTCCTCCAGTGTGCTGAGTTGGAATTTCAGAAAGGGCTCAGAGTAAGTTCTGCTATTAGAAATAGTTTTCTCCACTGCTACTTGGAGTAGGAGTATAGGTTCTTACAAGGGTTGTTTATCCTTCTCCTCACCTGTTTATTCCAGAGTAAATAAGGGATTAGGAAGGGGACAGGAAGAGGCCCTAAGACCTTTCCTCTGATTCTAAATCTGTCGCCTTATTGTAGCTTGAGGATGGAGCCCAGCTGATGATATGATACATCTCAGCAGCTTTTCTGGGCTTTTCCATAGATGACCAAGTGTTGGGGGTTCTCCTTATTGGTACGTGAAGCTAAACCATCATGGGGTGGTTTACACCCCAAGTATTACTTCTCAGTTGGGGTTATGCCATGATGTATGAAAAGAAAGCCCAAAGCAAGACAATTAATCCCAGACACTAGACTTATGCCCTTTCTCCCATCTGCCTGTGTACCTCCAGCATGAAAAACTTTTTGCAGTCTCCTGCCTTAAGAAATTTCTACATAGTACAAAACATAATTATCTTTTCTATGTACTAGCTCAGCCTCCAACTTATACTTCACTTTTTCAGTGTCCTTCTTAGTCACCATCATGGGTAGCTGCAGAGGTGAGCTCATATGGATGAGTTGGGAAGTTCTCCCCTAAACTGCCTATGTCCAGGTTCCTAACCTATGGCCTATTTTTTTTAATTTTAGCTGACAATTTAAGGTGGGTTCCACCTACAGGAAGTTAATGTCACAATACTCAGTCTTCTGCAATGTTGAGTGATAGGATGGATATCCTGACCCAAGAAGTTAACTCCTCAAGCACAGCAGCAAGTATGCTAGCCATCACTCTCCTGCCACATTGCTCCTCTGCTAGTGTGTCGCTCAGTGCTTGTTGGATGGATAGAAGGCTGGTTGGTTTGACGAAACTGCCTCACTCTGCAGCATTTTCATTAGGAGGAGGCCACCTTTAAGAACAATGTCCACACCTACCCCCACCTACTGTTCAAAAAGAGGGATTTTATTAAGTTTTGGTACACTGCCTGTACATGCAAGAATCTGTCCACCTTCACTTCTTCCTGTTTTCCCTAATGCTTGAAAAGAGACTTCTCCTGGCTTCTGTTGTTTCCTAGTAGATGTCATCTGTGGCAGTTTAGGCTGAAAATTGTTCCTTAGTTAAACTGAATGTCCCTCCTAGGATGCTGGTTATGTTACTGAAAGAACCTGCTGCAGGGTCATGGGTCCCATGTGTTTTCAGGGCTTGGCTCTGAGGAATGCAATCCACTGAATATGAGCATTGAGGCGGAGCTGGCCATCGAACAGATGAAAGAGCAGCATCGCAGGGACTTGTGTCGCCTGAGACTAGAGCTTGAAGATAAAGTAAGTCCTTCTTGTCAGTCCAGCTCTCTTTGAGCTCTGACAAGCTTTTGTGTGCAGACACTCTCGATTCTTTTTTATCATAGGGTGGCACTTTCTGTACATTTCCTCCTGCATCTGTGGCTGCCAGGAACCCACTTATTCAGGATGGTTTTATAGGCTGAGGGTGAGGCCTTTTCCTCCTGGGAGAGATTTTTTCCAAAACATAGTATCTTCAGCCCTAGCAAGCATGGAACTTTTGAAGGCCATTACATTATTTATAACTTGTAAAAAAAAAATGTCTTAATAAAACCAAAAAAGCCCTTTGATATAGCATTACCTCCTAAACTAGGTACAAGTTCTGAATCTGGCCTCCAAAACCCTTCACCATGTAGCTTCAACTTAGATTTCCAGTCTTCTCTTTCACAATTCCTTTGAGTCACCTCCTCCTCCAGCCAAAAAGGTGGTTCGCTGTTCTTCATCAAACTGTCCTCTTTTGCTCATGCTGTTGCATGCTATGTGATTATTCCTGTCTACCTTTTGAAGGTCTGCTCACCCTTCAGAGTTTGTATCAAATGCCACCTCTTGCATGAACCCATTCCTGAATTCCCCGCGACCAAATGTAATGTTTTCCCTCCTTTGATTCTCTGGGTTACATTGTAGCTCTTTTTCCTATACCTTTTATATTTTTTATTCTGCCTTGTAGTCTACTTGTTTGTACTTGTCATAACCATGTCTGGACTGGTTTCTCCTTGATGGCATAGACTACATCTTACCCAGCTTTTGGTCCCCATGAGGCCTGTGGAATGCTTGATAGGTGTTCGGTAAATATTGAATTTAATTAACTATTTTAAGGCCCCAAGTTTACAGTTAGAAGGCATGCCTGGGAAGACAAATGGTATCCATGAGAAGGTCTAGTCGCTTTTAATAGAGTTGTTCAGAAACTGACAAAATTCAACCAAGTTAAAAAGGAAAGCCAACCGTGCCTGACTTAAAAGTGTCTTATTTAATGTGGTTGTGAATTAAGTTACTTTAAAACAAAATGGGAAAACTGAGGAATGTCTTGTAGGAAAAAGTACTTACCACCCCCATCACCTTTCCATGGCCTTGAGTTGAATAACATGGTGGCGGTTTTGCTTCCTGACCTTAGGTGCGCCATTATGAGAAGCAGCTGGATGAAACCAAGGTCGCCTGTGAAAAGGAGCAGGAGAGCATGAGGCAGAAGTATGAGAATGAGGTGCACACCTTAGAAAAACAAAGAAGTGACCTTAAAAAAGAAATTGCAGAACTTCAGGGCCAGGCAGCAGTGCTCAAGGAGGCACAACAAACAACGACCCGCAGACACGAGGAGGAGAAGAAACAACTGCACATGAAGTGGGATGAGGAGAAGACTCAGCTGCAGGAGAAGCTGAGGCTGGAGCACGAGATGGAGCTCAAGGCTCGACTGGAGCAGGCGGAGGAAAGCCTCACCCGGGAGAGGGATGGACTCGCTCATGAGGGCGCCTGGACAGAGGAGAAAGTGAGAGGCTTGACTCAGGAGCTGGAGCACTTGCACCAGGAGCAGCTCAAAGGCCTGGTGGAGAAGCACACTCTTGAGAAAGAGGAGTTGCGGAAAGAGTTCTTGGAAAAACACCAAAGAGAACTTCAAGAGGGAAGGTAAGGAAAGTGGGGAAATGAGCAGCCTGGGCGCTGTCCCTTGGGGCCACGAGGAGTCCCTGTCAGTCAAGGAGACAGGACAATCAGAAGGCCTACTAGCCCATTCATTGCCTAGATTCCTTTTGGTTTTTCAACCTGTTTGCCATTCTTTAGACATAAGCCTACCCTGGAGTTATTGAAACTGTTTTTAAAAAAGAAGAAAGTATTTCTTGTATCAGACTTGTATTTTTTAAGGTTCTAGATGAGGGTAAGATTATCCCAAATGTGGTTCCTTCGTTTTTCAGTCTTGTTTTCTGAAAAAGGCTATTTCTACTAGATTTTGGGCAAAGTAACTCCTCCGAGAGTTACTAGACATGATTCTGTGCTCACCTTCCCTACTTGAGATCTCAGGCACACTCGAGGGCTTTGGTTGCCTCACTCTCTGGTTAACTCGGTGCTACTTTATTAAATAAGAGGCAAAAGCATAATGAATTCGTTAATATGTGTGTTTATATGACTGCTATCCTCCAATGTATACTCAATTAAAATGAAAGAATTTTATGTATTTCCCAATAGGAGTTAGGTTAATATGCATTTGATCATTTAATGTAAAATATCAGTTTAAGTTTTTGGTTAAAAATCCATAAGCAAATACATGCAGGAGTATGCCAAAGAATTTGGTTTCTAAATTTTCCTTCTAAATTCAGAGAGACGTCAGTCAGTCTTTTGAATTAATTACGGCTGCTGGTCCTGGCTCTCGGAACTGAGATGCCCTCTCAGTATAAAGGAATCACATAGCCATCAGTGAAGACCACTTTAGAAAGGACTTAGATTGTTTGCTTGGCAGTCTCTTCTATCCAGGGGAGATGTGTTTTGTTTGCTTCTGGAGTTGACGGCAGTTTCAGTAATGCTGTATGTTGACCACATTTAGGGAAAAAATGGAAACTGAGTGTAATAGAAGAACCTCTCAAATAGAAGCCCAGTGTCAGGCTGACTGTCAGAAAGTCACAGAGAGATGTGAGAATGCTCTGCGAAGCCTGGAGGGCCGCTACCGCCAGGAGCTGAAGGAGCTCCTAGAACAACAGTGCGAGGAGAGATCCCAGTGGGAGTTTGAGAAGGACGAGCTCACCCAGGAGTGTGCAGAGGTCCAGGAGCAGCTTAAAGAGACTCTCCAGAGGGAGAAAGCAACTTCTCTGGTCCTGAGCCAGGAGAGAGAGATGCTGGAGAAAACATACACAGAACATTTGAATAGCATGGTTGTTGAGAGAGAGCAGCTCCTCAAAGACCTGGAAGATCTAAGAAATGCCTCTGAAAGTCAGCAAAGTCTGCTGTCCGAGCAGATCCTCGAGCTGAAGAGCAGCCATGAAAGAGAGCTGAAGGACCACGAGCAGGTCCTGTGCCAGGCAGGCGCCTCGGAGCAGCTGGCCACCCAGCGGCTTGAAAGGATACAAAGGGAACATGACCAGGAGAGGCAGGAAATGATGTCCAAGCTTCTGGCCATGGAGAGTGCCCACAAAGTGGCCTGTGAGAAAGCAGAGCAAGAGAGGGCCAAGATGAGCACAGAAATCTCCCGGCTTCAGAATAAAATTAAGGAAATGCGACAGGTGGCATCTCCTCTCTCCAGGCTCCAGAGGAGCTGCCAGGCAATGGGAGGGGAGGAGGCAGAAGGGAGCGGAGCCATGTCCCTGCTCCAGCAAGGAGAGCAGCTACTGGAGGAGAACGGAGATGTCCTCTTAAGCCTGCAGAGAGCTCATGAACGAGCTGTGAAGGAAAACGTGAAAATGGCCACTGAAATTTCTAGATTGCAACAGAGGCTGCAAAAATTAGAGCCAGGGTCGGTCATGTCTTCTTGTTTAGATGAGCCAACTACTGGATTTCTTGGAAATTCTGTGGAACAGACAGCGCCATTTTTACTGCAAAACCAAATGGAGCAGGTGGAAGGTGTGGCCGTGCGGTGCGCCCCAGGTGAGCTGCAGGAGCCTGAGGTTGGGGACCTCGGAAGCACGGGGACCAGCTCTGCTCAGAGACAGCACGTCAAAGTGGAGGAGTCTGAAGCAACAATAGAGAGTTTTTCCGAGCTTGGAAATAGTGAGGAGACCAGGACTGAGACCTGGGACCTGAAGAATCAGATTTGTCAGCTTCAGGAACAACTAATGATCTTACGCGCAGACTGCGATCGAGCTTCTGAAAAGAAACAGGACCTACTTTTTGATGTTTCTGTGCTAAAAAAGAAGCTAAAGCTGCTTGAGAGAGTCCCTGAGTCTTCTCCCAAGTATAGACTGTTATACGAGGATGCTAGCAGAGAAAACGACTGCCTTCAGGAGGAGCTGAGAGTGATGGAGACGCGCTACGACGAAGCCCTAGAAAATAACAAAGAACTCGCCGCAGAGGTTTTCAGATTACAGGATGAGCTAAAGAAAGTGGAAGAAGTGACTGAAACATTCCTCAGCCTGGAAAAGAGTTATGATGAGGTCAAAAGAGAAAACGAGGAACTGCACGTTCTGGTTTTGCGACTTCAAGGCAAGATTGAGAAGCTGCAAGAAACATCGGTGCTGCCGTGTGACTGTGTTTCCTTGAGGGAGGCCTGTGAGGATAGCCTGGCGGCGGACCCTGACGAAGAGGTGCTCGGCCTAAGTCAGACCCTGGAGGGTGTGCCAAGGGTGGTGAGTGTACACCACGTTATAGAAGAACATTACCAAGAAGGCCAGTACCTCGAGCAGGAGAACACACAGCTCCCGGAAGGAGGAAAAGCCCGTGAAATTGCCTGGCTACACAGAACCATCCAGACACGTCGGGAAAAGCCGGGAGTACAGAACCAGGTTACAATGGAGGGAAACCCTGCTCTCCTCCACCTTCAGGACAAGCATTTTCAGCATCAGGCCACCATAGCAGAGTTAGCACTGGAGAAAACAAAGCTGCAGGAGCTGACTAGAAAGTTAAGGGAGAGAGTCACCACTTTGGTTAAGCAAAAAGATATACCTTCTCAAGGAGAAAAGGAGGAGGAGCTGAAGGCAATGATGCACGACCTGCAGGTGACCTGCAGTGAGATGCAGCAGAAAGTGGAGCTCCTGAGGTAATGTATGCACCTGCCAACATCATGGATCCCAGCGAGCACCTCACCACATCTAACTCCCGCTGCCTGCTGTGCCTAGAGAAACTAACCCCCTGGTAATCTTCAAGAAGAGAGCAGAACTTCAGGCTTCCTCTGCCTCTGCATCCTATTAACAACTAGACTAGCCCTGCCTCCGAGGCATTCCCTTCCCTTCCTCCCGGGAACTCAATGTCTTGTTCGTTTGGGTGTGAAAGTCCATAATGGAGCGTGTCTGCCTTTAACAACATGCTCGTCAATGTCTGTCAAGTCCTTAACTCTTCCTAGCACTTGGTTTGGATGGATAAATTTTTTTTTCTTCTGAATGTTATTTTCCTCGTTTTGATGAAACAAGCTCTGTGAGAGTGAATGCCTTTTGTGTATTAATAACTCACCTGGTAGATCAGAACTCCCTTCCTGTACTAATATAGGAAAATGATGTGTCTTGTGGCTGACCGTGTTTCGCTTGTATCACGTAGCACAGGCTGATATTCTGTAAACAATGGAAATTTATCTTAGGACATAAAATTTCATTGAGGAGCTACCAGATTCTAATAAATGTGCTTGAAGAATAAAGAGGCAAGTGAAACTAATTGGAACCACTGCTCACTTGACTTTGTAAAATATGATTGCTATAGTCTTCTAGCAAATTCGGTTTCAAAAAAAGACTCGTAAAATATTACATTGTCTGAAACAGCTTAATGATCTGAAACAAAATTATTTAATTCTAGATGTAGTTTTTCCTCTTCTTACTTCAGACCATTTTTAGTTCTAAAAATCATAATATGATGAGATGGATAAAAATCAATGTAAACATTACTGTACATATTTCACTGCGGCCCTTTTATTTATGTGTGAATTTTCTTTCTCTAGGTCCCCTGGGCCCTAAAACTAAAACTCACACAGCCAAGTAATATGGTTTTTGTCTATTCGGAGCAGGAGGACTAGAGACTGAGTGGAGTTACCTGCTCAGAGCAGTGCGCTCGCCACTGAGAGCAGCAGCCAGAGCGGGCACTGCGTCCTCACCTGGCTCCGCGCTGAGGGTGTCAGCCACACTTCCTTAACTTAGTCCTTTAGTGAAATTCTTACTTCCCAAAAGAAATGAGTCAATATGTCATAGCTTGATTTCCAAGTACTAAGACACTACTAATTTAGACTTCTCTTTATAACTGGCGTGGAGTACTTGTTTTATATTGGAAGTTACTAGAAAGTATTTCCAAAGATGCCAGATGACTGCCTTGTTGTAACTATTTTTTTAAATCTCTGTACTTCAGATATGAATCTGAGAAGCTTCAAGAGGAAAATTCTATTTTGAGAAGTGAAATTACTACTTTAAATGAAGAGGATAGCATGTCTAACCTGAAATTAGGGAAATTAAATGGATCTCAGGAAGAAATGTGGTAAGATGTAAATTTTCCTAAGGCATTCTTGCAAGGACTAAAACTATTTTACTTCAACTTTTAAAGCCTAACTCTTAAGTTATATTTTCATTGTCCCTTTTAGGCAAAAAATAGAAACTGTAGAACAGGAAAAAGCTGCAGTTCAGAAGATGGTTGAAAATTTAAAGACACAGGTAAGGTGATACTTAATATTTCCCAATGTTTCCTGATTCTGAAATTTTCTTTGTTTATTTGAAATTTACAAATTTATAGGACATGCTACTTGAATAGCATGTAGCTAATGATGGTGAGGTTGCAAATCCTGAGTTTCACAGTGGAAGCTCACTTCTGGCTGACTTGAAATGATCTCACCCATGTTTTCTTCTAGGACTTGTATAGTTTTATTGTTTGTATTTAGACTCCTAATCCAAACAGAGTTTATCCTCATGTGTGGTATAAGATAGGGGTTTCTATTTCTCGTGAATATAATAATGTATGTATTATCTCTAGACTCTGAGTGCTTAATGTAAGCTCTGTAACCAGTAGTGGGAGGGGGAGAGGATGGGGAGGTGACGCCTCTAAAACCAAACCCATGAAATCCTAGCCCTATCCCACATGTAGTTTAGATTACTGTTAGCTCCTTCCTCTTTCCTCACCATGATTGAAAGGAGAGAGTTAAGGACAGAATTTCACAGATCTAGAATACCAGTTAATTGTTATATCTTTTCACCAAGAATTCAAGAATTATGATTTATTCAGATAGCCTGTGCCATTCAGTGCCCAATTTGTATAATCTCACACCATGCAATTGTGCGGGGGAAGACCATTTAAGAATCTGTCTGAAACAGTCAAAAGACAAGGACATCCTGGGAAAAGAGTATTTTCAGTACTTGAAATAGACAGGGTACTAACATCTAAAATATATTCTGTACTCTTACAAACAAATGGCAAAACCCCGTTGAAAAATAGATAATTGACATGAATGGTCAAGTCACAGGAGAAAAGAATACAACATATAAAAAGATGGTTAACCTCATTAGTGATTAGGAAAGTGCAAATTAAATGTTTCTTTTTTTCACCTGTCAGATTAGCAAATATTAAAGATTGGTGTCATCTGGTATTAAAAAGGGGGTGAGGAAATGCGTGCACCCAGACGTCATTGACAGGACTACAAGTTGGTAGCACTGTGAGGAGGACATTTTGGGGCTCTCTATCAAAACAGTTATGTATATGCCTACCTTCAAAAAATGATCCTAAATACAAAATGCTACCGTGTGTAAATGAATTTTCTAGAAGATTGTTTTGTTTCTTCATAATTAAAGGAAAGAATGATAAATCTATATGTCTGTCAGTGTGGGCATGGATAAATGCATTATGGAATACCCTATAGCCACTAAAAATAATAGCATGTGGAGGTTTCTGAATGCACTGACTTGGAATGACAAGAGTCTATAAGATATTATAAGTGGAAAAAGCAGGCTGTCCAAATATCTGAAATGATTTTGATATAATGATAATGATTTTGTTATAAAGAAGAAAAAAATCTCTGTGTTATATGGGTTTTGTATATGCATAGAAAACAATCTAGAGGGATACGTATCCAGCTGTAGACAGTGGCTCCCCTGTGGAGTAGGGCTGGACTGAGTGTCCATCACTTCTTCATATACTTGCGAATTGACTGAATTTGTAATAATGAGTATGCATTATTTCTGTTGTTAAGTGTGTGTGTGTATATATATATATGTAACTTTACCTACATAAAGAGGGAAAAAAATTAGTTTCTAAATCTGTTTGTTAGCAGAAAGTAGGGTAACTAGTTTTTAAAACATATTTCCATTTTAATTAGATTTCAGAATTAAAAACCAAAAACCAACAGTTGAATTTGGAGAATACAGAACTTAGCCAAAAGAATTCTCAAAATCAGAAAGAATTGCAAGACCTTAATCAACATCTGGCGGCAGTGCTATGCCAGGAGGATAAAGAGCCAGGACACAGTGCACTGGAGGAGTGGGAACAGGAAAAATCTCATCTGAGAGAAGAACTGGAGCGCTGTAAAGTCCAGGTACAGTCTGTGGCCACGCTGTGGCCTGTCTGGAGGGAATCCCAAGAAATGAAAGAAAGGCTCGTATTAAATTTCTTATACATAAAGTCTTAGTAATTAAAACAGTGTGGTACTTGCACGTGAATAGACAGGTAAGAGGAATGGAAAGTCTAGACCCGAATACAAATGGAAAACTTGTGTTTAACAAAGGCAGCTTCTCAAATCGCTGGGGTAACGATGGACTTTTTAATAAGTGGAGCCTGGACAATTGGGTAGACATTTGGAACTAGATACAGTTAGATCCATATCTTATACCAAACGTGAGGATAAACTGTGCTTGGATTAGGAGTCTAAATATAAACAATAAAGCTGTACAAGGACTAGAAGAAAACATGAGTGAGTTCGTCTTTAACCTTGGTGTAGAGAAAGGCTGTCTAACTATGACTCATAAACCAGAGGCAAAAAAAAGAAAAAATGATTACATTTAAAAACTTTGCATGGCCTAAAAAAAAAAAAGAGCATAAACAAAGTCAAAAGACAACTCACAAACTGGGAGAAAATATTTACCTCCTATACCACAGAGAGGGGCTAGCATCCCTACCATGCAAAGAATTTCTGAAAACCAAAGGCCTTAGGACCCAAATCTGACAGCAAAATGGGGGGGAACACAGGACAAATGATTCACAAACAGGAGATGAAAATGGCCCTCAAGTCTATGGAAAAATGTTCAAAATCACTCATAAGTAAAGAAATGCAAATAAAAACAACACTGATATATCATTTTTCACATGTGAGACTGACAACAATTTACAAATATGACCACATATTCTTCTGGCAAGGCTTTGGGGAAACAGCCCCTTTCATACACTGCTGGGGGGGGATGTAAACTGATGTTATCCTCTGGAGGGAAATTTGGCAATACCTAACAAGATTGCATATGTACTTACCTTTTGTCCTACTTCTAGAAATTTACCTTAGAGATGCACCTCCAAAAATATGAACATTCATAGGCACAGAGTTATTCCTTGCAGCATTGTTTGTAATTGTAAAATATTGGGAACAGCCTGGATGCTCATACGTAGGAGAGCGGTTGCATGAATGTGGTGGGTACAGCCACACCATGGAGTAGTGCTCTGCAGCTGTTAAAAAAAAAAAATGGAGAGAGAGAAGGAATGAGAAAGATCTCTATTGATATGAAATGATTTCCAGGACATACTGTTAGTGAAAAAATAAAGGTGCAAAGAGCATCTGAGGGCGTCTGGAGTACGTCTTTGTCCACGTAAGGAACCGGGGACAGGTGTCTGCTCATTTGGGCAAAGGGAGCAGAGGAAGGATGGGCCAGAAGCTAAAGAGATGGTTACCTTGGGGGTGGGGGGAGGACGGACTAGGAATGGGAATGGGAGACAGATGAGGGAGGGGGTGACACTCTGAGTATGTCTTTTTCTATGGCTCTGACTTTTAGAACACACATTCTTCACATATCCCCAAATAAACACACCATTCAAACCAGTCCAGATGTGGGGGTACCAAAATGGAACACAGCACTAACAAATGAACCTGACTATATTATGAATGCATAACATAACCACAATGGGAAGAGAAGAATTAACTTAAATAATTAAGTAATTGGAAATCACATCTTGACTGTATACTGTAGGACTACAGACAAGACAAAGTGCACCCATTGTTAGGAGGATCTAGTCAGAACATGTGTTTCTGAGTGGGTGTGGGTTACTAATTCTGGAACCACTCTGTGTGTGCTAGGATTGAGCAAATGAGTACATACACTGTAGACCAGAAGAACTGAGTTTCTCAGTGTTGGAGATGGAGGTGTAAATGGAGAAACGCGGAGGGCTAAGACGAACCCTGCGATGCTGGACTGGGATCCCGGGTGTTAGCGTAACTCACGTTTCTGAACATATATACAGAGAGATAGACACAGATGTGTGGATACGAATGGGTGCTCAGGTCTTGGTGTCTAAACACCGTTCTCCTATAAAAGGAACCAGGGCTCCTTGGAAAAACGATGGATTCCAAGGCTGGGGCAGGGAAAATTCAAGATGAGCTTGGAACATCTCATGGTGCCAGAAAGAAAACAGTGCTCACAAGAAGATGGGGCATGTTGAAAGGACACAGGGCCCAACCCGAAAGGAGCTTCTAATGACCAAAGCTGCAACAATTAGATCAACAAAGTAAATAATCATAGTATAGCGTAAAATAAATACCTATGGCTTCATACTGATGTAAAAAATTGGATAAGTAAATAAAGCAGGGAGAAATAACAGCTCTTCCTTAGAGTAGAATTCTAATTAGTAAATGGAGAAAAAAAGAAGGCAAAAGAAAGTCATCATTAGGCAAATACCAGAGTAATAATTTTTGTAGACAAAATCCACTGATAGACACTAAAATTAATAAGCAAAATTTAAGGAGAAGCACGATTTGCATAGTCTCAAAGTATCTCCCCCAAGAGAAAGATACAGACTTTATGGTGGAGAAGCCTGCAAAAACTACCTTAGAATCCATGGTCCTGCCATTTAAGTGGAAAGTGTTTTGAAAGATAGTTGAGTTCTGTTGAGTATGAGGGTGAATGGTCATGGAACAGCGTCATTGAATTTATACTAGTGTCTCCCCAGTGCTCCTTTTGGGAACCCTGCAATTTCCCTCCGGCTGAATGAGTATGTGTATTGTTTGACTTTTACATTTTTTTCTTAGTCCTCCACTTTAGTGTCTTCTCTGGAGGCAGAACTTTCTGAAGTCAAAATACAGACTCATATTGTGGAACAGGAAAACCTCCTTCTCAAAGGTGAACTGGAGACACTGAAACAAGTAAGACTGTGTGCTGTGTGGGGCGGGGCGGGGGTTCACAGAACTATGCGTACCTGACGGTCTGGCTTTTCTAGCCATCAGTATCCTTTTCACTGAGTCCTGTCAACTAGCTATTACTTAGTAAAGTCGAGGGCTTGCAGAACAAGTCTATTTATAAGGGGTCCTATCACTAATTCTCTAAATGTCGTCTTAGTTAGGTAACTTACATATGGTCTAGACTGCAATTTTGTTCCTATAAATGAATCCCACCACTGCAGTTTAAGAAATTTGTTGTTCTGCTTTCTCCCAGCCAGGTGATAAAGTAATATGTTTGTCTAAAAAGAGGGTGACTTTCTTGTTCATAACTTTAACAACTATTCACCCAGATTTGTGAGACAGATAAAGCTGGCTGCTCTTACCCCTTCTTATAGCGAGTATGAGGCATCTAAGACACTGGAGTAAATTGTAGAGCATTATCAGGGCTGCAGTCTCACTTAGGAATTCAGCTTGAAGAAGCCTATTTCAAAGTTTCAAGCAAAGACAATTTTAAATATAAAAGAGAGTTCACCAGATTGGTTACCAGGGGAAAGGGGGGTGAGGGGTGGGCACAAAGGGTGAAGTGGCGCACCTACAACATGACTGACAATAATGTACAACTGAAATTTCACAAGGTTGTAAACTATCATAATCTTAATAAAAAGTAAAAAAAAAAAGAGGGTTCACCTTAAAGTTATATCCTGAATGTCGTCCTATATTCTTCTTTATTCTGAATTTTTCAAAGAGTAGAGGAAACTTTCAGTTTGAGCAATCCTGATTTATAATAGGAGAATTTAGTTGTTATGTTTTATTTATTTGCTTCACCAGACGATTGCTTTAATATTATGACATTATTAGGTTATAAGATTCTCTGTCTCTGTTCAGCCTCTGAGCATAAAGGTGCACTTCTCTGAGTGCTGAGATATTGGTCTGGGTCACTGAGTGTTGTGCTGTGTTGGTCTCTGACTGTCTGCTCTGAGTCCTGATTTCCTAATAGGCTGGTAAGACTCTCAGGGAACTGCTGTCTCATAATGCCCAATACGGAACTGGTACCTAATAAGCGCTCTCTAAGAACATTTTCAAGTCAGATGCTGCTGTGCAAAGGATGTCTGTTCTGCCATAACAGAAGCTGTCTGTCCATGTAAACAATCCCGAAGTTAAAACTCCCAGGGCCCTTCTGTGGTGTATAAGTATTGCAAAGCTGTTATTACCAAGTTCATCCTCAGTTCCTTGGGCCTTCTTTTCTCCTTTACCTTTGGAAGGTCTGTCTGTTGTTCAGCCTTTAAGATGATAATGACAGGTTCCAAGTCCAGAGCACAGGAAATGTTTGTGACTTTGCTAAGCTGGAGACCAGAAGACAAGGAGCAGGGCTGGGACTAAAATGGCATGATGAGGATGTCATTTGGCACATTCTTATTGCATATTTTTTACAGCGGTATTGATATAAATAGTGAGATGGAAAACAGTGAGCCCTGTCTGCCTTTGGGAGGAAGTTGTTTCATGGCGCCTGGACTCTTGGGTCACAAGAGTAGGATGGTGTCGGCCCACCGTTGCTGCCATGTGGCTTGGACCCAGAAAGCCTGTGCTGCTCTGTGTGACATCATGTCTCATGCACAAAGCACTGTCACTGGTATTATCTGTCGCACTGAAAAGAAACACAAACAGCATCAGCAGAAGTCACAGGCCAGTCTGTAGACACCCAGGAGGTACCTGGCTTTGGGAGGGTCTAGGGTGGGAGGAAGGTAGTGAGCAGAGGAAGACCAGTCCCCTAGTGACCCAGCACCCGGGTGCTTTATGATGCATTTTCCTACGTCCTTCCGACTGTTTAGATTTGCGAGGTGAGCTGGATTTGCTGCAAGTAAAAGACAGGTTCAACCCTGTCACACTCTTCCTAAAGCTAATGTAGAAGAACTTAAGGTGAGAAGTAGGAAGATGGCCGTAAAATCATGATGATAAAGAGCTGAAAATTTGAAAGCCTGGTGAAGCAGAGGGAAATTAAAAATGTATGATCTATGGGGAAGGGATAAGGAGTATAAAACAATCAGTCTCTTGAAGCAGTAGTTGAGGGGTGAGGATATGCCCCCACCCCCACCCCAGGACATTTAGCAATGTCTGAGGACATTTTTGGTTTTCACAACTGGTGTGTGGTGGGGGGAGTGCTACTGGAATCTAACAGTGAAGCCAGAGGAGCCAGCCCCATGGCCGAGTGGTTAAGTTTGCATGCTCTGCTTCAGCGGTCGAGGGTTTACCAATTTGGATCCTGGGCATGGACCTACATACCATTCATCAAGCCATGCTGTGGCAGTATCCCACATATAAAATAGAGGAAGATGGGCACAGATGTTAGCTCAGGGCCAATATTCCTCAGCAAAAAGAGGAAGATTGGCAGCAGATGTTAGCTCAGGGCTAATCTTCCTCACCAAAAAATAAAAATAAAAAGAAGGAGGAAAATGTATTGTGCTATATGTACACAAGTTAACTGATGACATAATGGCAGCATGTTATGTGCTTTACCCTGAAGGTGAAACAGAAAGCTAGGACCGTTATTTCACAGTGTCTGTCTGGTTGAGCCTGTCTGAGCAGACATTCAGCAGTCAGTTGGAGAATGGAGAAAAGCGAGCAGGGAACATTTTGTTAAAGTTAATTATAATGCTCTAGCGTTTATATTGTCCTCTGAAATGGCAGCAGCCATGAAAGCGCCCACTTATAAATACCTCTTTATAGATACAGCCACGAGATGTGATGGGAGGGCTCCTTTCTCTCTTAGAGCTGCACAGATGTCCCCATCTCTCCGACTTCCAGCAAAAAATGTCTCGTGTTCTGAGCTACAGTGAAAAACTGCTGAAAGAAAAGGAAGCTCTAAGTGAGGCATTAAGTGGCTCTGTTGATGAGGCAGGCAGAAGGGGAACAGTTTTTGCCATCATTGTACAGTGTGTACCACCATGAGCATGTCTCCACACAGTGGCACACGGGCCTCCCGTGTTGACCTAATTGTTCCAAACTCTTCCTGGAAAGCATTTCAGCTGCCGTTATGTCACCTCAGAGCTCCTGAATCCATGATTTTAACAAGAGTCTGGATTAGTTGTTTAATAATTATATTACTAAAGACAGTAATATAAAGTTTGTCTCATTTTAATAGGTAACCATGCTATTTATATATTATTTAAATATATGACTATTCTACTGATATATGATGTAACTAATATAAATATTATTGTATTTAACAATCTGAGCTCTATTACATAGACACTTTTTTTCCTATTGTATTTTCCCTGGCAAATCCAGAAACGCTGCTTGGTCCCACCTGCCTTAATAGGCATTCTTAGTTTCCTATTACGGTGCACTCGAGATTTCTAATTGCCTTCCAGCCCATCATCTCTCACCCACAAAATATGAGGCAATGAGGAAGAAAAGTGGAAATCCCCAAAGAGAGGAGCCTCCTCAAAATGAAAGGGATAAAGGGAGTCAGGAGCTGTCTTTCTCTCCCCTACCCTGCTCCCCACGTAAACAGATGGCATGAGATCTTTTCAGCACAAGTGGAGGCAGAGAAACTGAGGCTAGATACGTTTGCAAAACTGCCCTGTCACCTCCTTTATCTTCCTAAACAGCTGGCAAAATCCAGACTCCTAGAGCACAGAGTCGCTACTGTGAAGCGAGAGCAGAGGTCTTGGGAGCAGCAGAGCGAAAGCTTGCGGTCACAGCTGACGGCTTCCCAGCAGAAGGTGCGTGGACGGTTCTTGGTCCATCCACAGTTAGTGTTTCCTACATCTTCCGAAGGAACTCCCAGTGGAAAGAAGGTTCCAGGTGGAAGTGGCCTAAGAGGGCTCGGAATGATTCAGTTGACTAATATTTGACACATGCTCACAGTATAGTGAAATAGTCTGGACAGGATTTCCCTCAAAGTTCGTTATTATGAGATCATTATGAGTCATCTCATCATTATGAGGTTACTTATTTATGAAAGCTTGAGAATAGTGTGTAAAAATGACTGCTTGTTCCTAATTTAGAAATGGGATTTCTAAGGCAGGTTTTTGCCCTGTTATAGTTAAAGATCTCTGTCAGCATTTCTTTTACAAATTTAAAATTTTTTAAATTGAAATATCCAGGTGTATATATTTTTATTTTAAACTAAGAGGTCCCTTACAAACCAACACCACAGGCTAAAACAATTTCTACAAAATTCAGTAAAAGCATCTTTTGTGATGCCAATTGGTTCTGTAAGATGTCACCTGGTGGTATACAGGTGACTCCAGCAGCAGCACCTTGCTCCAGTTAGAGTTCATCATTGCCCTAAATATCATTTAAAGTCCTGTAAATGTGCATAACAGCCTGGGTCTCCACTGAGCTACTGACAAGAGCTGGACGTAGTCAGTGGAAACAGAAGGGACCTGGAGGTCTCTTGTCCTGGTTCTTTCCTACCTGGCCGTGCTGTAGGTGAGACCAGGGGGATTTCTGTCGCAGTGTAAGATTGTTCTCGTGATGCAGGTTCAGAGTTTGGAAGACACACTGCAGAACGTAAACCTGCAAATGTCCCGGATTAAAGCCGACCTACGAGTGACTCAGCAGGAAAAGGAGGCTTTAAAACAAGAAGTGATGTCTTTACACAAGCGACTTCAGAGTGCTGGTGACAAGGTAATTTTTCTTTCTTATTGAGGTATCACTTTACACAGTAAAGTGCACAAATTTTAAGTCTATGGCTTGATTATTTTTATACATGTATATGTTCGTATACATAAATATATGTATTTTACATACTTATGTGTATGTTTGTGTAACCACCACTGAGTTCAAAATCTAGAACACCCAGCACCCAGCAGGCTCTCATGCAGCAACCCCAAGGGAGCCGCTTCTCCACCCTCTGCCACTGTAGCTTAGGGATGCTTGTTTCTGAACTCCACATAAATGGAACCACAGTGATGAGGTAATCTTTTGTATTGTGCAAGTTAGAGAACATGGCTGAGTTGTTTTGTAGTAATAAAACTAAAACATTTTGATGTTGTAGGAAGTGTGTCTCATTTGTGCTGCTTCATTTGGGCACAAATAAATGAAGAATGATGTTATGGATGTCAGCCTTGGGGTAGACACTAAGACTTTGTCCTGTCATAAACATAGACACTAATTCAGTCATTTTATCTCTTGGTGATACTTTTTTTTTTTTTTTGAGGAAGATTAGCCCTGAGCTAACATCCACCACCAGTCCTCTTCTTTTTGCTGAGGAAGATTGGCCGTGAGCTAACATCTGTGCCTGTCTTCCTCTGTTTTATATGTGGGACGCCTACCACAGCTTGGCTTGATAAGCAGTGTGTAGGTCTGTGCCTGAGATCCGAACCAGTGAACCCCGTGCCACCGAAGCAGAGTGCGCAAACGTAACTGCTGCACCACCAGGCTGGCCCAGGTGCTGATACTGTTTTTAACTGTAATTTTTTTTTTAAATAAAATAATTCTTTCCATTTTTTAAGATTACTTCTGGGCTGACATTTTTCTCAAAATGAAATTGTATCTTTTATTCTTTTTCATATTTTGGCTTAAAAGACAAAAGACCTATCTAGTTGTATTACCTTTTTGGGGCTTTTTTTTGCATGAGGAAGATTGTCATTGAGCTAACATCTGTGTCAATCTTCCTCTATGTTGTATGTGGGTTACTTCCACAGCATGGCTTGATAAGCAGTGTGTAGGTCCATGTCCGGGATCTGAACCTGTGAACCCCAGGCCACCAAAGCCACTACACCACTGAGCCAGCCCCCCTTTTGTATTTTTTAAAGCATTTTTAGGAATCACTTTGGTAGCTTAAAGCATATTCCTGAGTTCAGGCCTCAATTATATGGACAATATGTGCTTTGAATTCTAAAAAAGGGATATGATTGCACATGTGAAAATGAGAGTGGAGCTGAGCTTGTTGGTTAGCAGTGTGTTTCAGGGTCCCTGTGTGTATATCTATATATGCGTACGCTTGCTTCCCTTAGAAGACGAAAGTGAAAGTTAAAAAGTGCTTACTAAGAATCACTGTTAATCAGGTAAATATGACACTCAGAACAGAAGTCAGCTTGTTTTTAAGGCTTAAGTCTGCAATTCTCTCTTAAGAACTGGGCCCCGGAAATAGCCGCCCATCCATCAGGATTCCGTAAGGAGCCACAAAGCCTGCCTTGGGACAAACTGGATCATCTGATGCACGAGGAGCAACAGCTGCTTTGGCAAGAGAGTGAGAGACTGCCAGCGGAGGTGCAGCACCCCAGCGCGGAGCTCGCACACTCCCGGGGGAAGGTGACCTGAAACGTGGCACATGCTGGTGCATGTTTGAAAATGCTTAGTTTGATACGATTGAAATGATTCTAGAGTATTAGTCTGAGTATTCTGCTATGGCAGACTTATTTTAAGAATGTATCATTTATCATTTACTTTTATTCTGATATGTTTATACAATATTTTTCATTTTGTATAAGCAGCTCTATGTTAAAATCTGTGATTTTAAACTTCATACCCAAAATATAGACTCCTGGAAATTACGTTAACCATATATCCCTCATTCAAATAGGCCAGCTGCCAGGACTGGCAGTAGAAAAATGGCAAAACTAGGCTCAAATCCTGTTGGTCTAACTCCTTGTGAGACAAGGTGCTCCTTTTTAAAGATTCAGCGTTTCAAGGCTAGGATGGTCTTTCAAGATCATCTTTTCCAACCATTAAACTGCTGTTTAAATTCTCCACCTCTGCTAAGCAGTCGACCAACTCTGTTCAACCTATGCTTTCACTCCTCTTTCGAGGAAGAACTCTGAAGAGCCACAGATACTCGTTGAGAACGCCTACTTGGTGCCAGAAACTCTGCCATCACTGAGGTCGCTGTCCTCATGGAACTCAGTTGACGTAAACGCATCGTTTCAGGTGTGCACAGTCCAATACAAAGTCGACGGACTGTCACTCCATCCACTCCTGAAAGTTATGCTCATGTCAGAGCAGAAGTGCCTAGATCTGTGTTTTCTTGCAGCCACATCACACTGTTGACTCCCAGCGGGTGGTAGAGCCAGAAGTCCCCTCTCCCCTGTCTGACCCTTACAGTGTTGGGTTTTTAGACCCAACCAGACTGAAAATAGATCTACCTAGAAAGGATCTTTTGAAATCCAAAAAGTAGGCTTCAGGAATTGGCAGACTTGACTGAAAAAAGGTGTTTTTGATACAACAAAACCCAAACGCTGAATAAAAATTTTCCTTACGTTCGTCGTTCGTTTGTCCTGGCTGGGTGGTTATATTAGCATTTCTTCCTCTTTAATTTGTTCCTCTTAGGTCCGCCAACTGGAATCCAACCTTCTTCCCCCCAAGCACCAAAAACATCTAAACTCATCAGGAACCGTGAAGCCCATCGAGCAGGAGAAGTTGAGCTTAAAGAGGGAGTGTGAACAGATTCAGAAGGAACTGTCTCCTACTAGCAGGAAGGTTAGTTTGAGACTTGATGCCCTGTGTCCGTGTTCTGACTCTGATGTCCCCTAAGTGTGAGTTTCTTCCCTGCCTGCTTCCAAGGAAATGGTTACAATGGCACATTTCAGTTCTTCCTAATATCTATGATTTGTAATCTTATCAAAACAGTATCACAGTTATTTTTGATTGAGTCATGGTTGAAAAGGAACAATTAACTTTACGTTTTCAATAAGGAAGGCAGTTAGTCATTTTCAGGAGTATTACAAGCTTTATAAGTTAGTAAAATGTATATAGCCTGGCTCTTAGGAACATCTTGATATGGTCTGTATTAGTTCATCTGTTGCTGTGTAACAAATTAAAACAACAAGTGTCCGTTGTCTCAGTTTCTGTGGGTCAGCGATTCAAAGCCCCTTAGATAAGGGGTTGCGGCTCTGCTCTCCCAGAGGGGCCGTCCAGGCGTCAGCGGGGCTGCATTCCCTGGAAGGCCGCAGTGGAACTGGAGGATCCACTTCCAAGTCCACCCACATGACTGTTACGCGGAGACTTGTTTCCCTGCTGGCTGATTGCCCAGGGCCTCAGCTCCTCCCCACCTGGGCCTTTCCTCGGACGTGGCAGTGAGTGGTAGGAGAGAGATCGGAAAAGGCCAAGATGGAAGGTGTAGTACCTTTCATAAGCTAATCCCAGAAGAGACACGCTGACATTTCTGCTGGATTCTGTTAGTCACACAGACTAACCTTGGTACATTGTGGGAGGGACTATGCAAGGGTGTGAAGACCAGGAGGTGGGGGTCATGGGGCACCATCTTGGAGGCTGGCTACTGTGTGTTTAATCCTCTGTAGCACAGCTCAGTTTGCTTTCTATATAGTCACGTGTGGCTTAACGATGGGGACACGTTCTGAGAAATGCATCTTTAGGGGATTTCATCCTTAAGGGAACATCATAGAGTGTGCCTACACAGACCTGGATGGGACAGTCTACTACACACCTAGGCCACATGGCACTAATCTCATGGACCACTGTTGCATATGCCTCCCATCATCGACCGAGACGTTACACAGCACATGACTGTACTTTGTTCCAGAAAGTTAGAGTTCCAGACCAGTGATACTCTGGGAGTTCTCATTCTTACTCATTTGTGTTTCTTTCCTTTTCTAAACTAAAACTCAGAGTTTTCACTGTTACCTTCCTCTTCTGAAAATTATGTCTTCTTTAAAAATCTGGGAAGAATGATGAACAGTCAGTTACTTTTGTTAAAAAAAATTTTATGAAATTTTTATAAGTTTGTGAAAGTTATCATGACCATGGGCAGTAAGAAAACTGTGTATTCTAAAGCTGTAATGTCATTTAATTTTAGGTACATTCAAGTAAACTTTTCAGAACGACAGTGGGTTTCATCCCTGTTCACTAAGGGAAGAGTCTGATGATAGGTTTAAAAATAACAATGAATGTAAATGTACCTGGAAAGATGACACTTCTGGTTACCAATTCTTGCTACACTTCTCCTCAACTCTTTTTGATAGAAGCACAAATCAGCATTCTAGAATAGCGTCCTATGTTTTCTACTTGGCAATACTCTGAATCCCAGTGTCCTCTAGCTCATTAGGATCTTCCTGCAATAAAAAGAATTCCAAAAACGGATACTCATAAAAATCCTCAAATTTCATCTTTAAAATTGAGAAAGGGGTCAGATAAGTCAAGTTTTATGTAGTCTTGGTTTTAAACCTTTAAACTTTGCCTAAAGACAGTGTTTTTCCCACCGCAGACCCATAGTAGAGGATCATGAAACTGACAGTGAAACACCAGCATTTTTATTAATGAAATATACTAGAAAATACCAGAGCACAGGGCTCATGGTAAGGATAAGTATTATTTCATGAAAGTTTTCTTCCAGTCATATGCACTTATAACTATGCATATATATGTACACGTGGGTGTGGGTGTATGTGCTGGGTTGCAAGATCAAATGTGTTTCTTACACTGAGTGGCGTTGAAGTTTAAAGCCAGCTGCCTTGAGGAATCTGTTCAATGTGAGGAGTGGTGATTCAAACTAAACTGCTTAAATGTAATCAAAGTTGTTTTCCTTCGATGAATGAGCTTGGCTTTCTTCCAAGAGCTGAGATCTCTGACTAGCATAAATTTGTCAAAATAAAGCAGAGCAACTCAGGTATTTGTTTTTTTTTTTTAAGGGAATTTTTTTGTTCTTTAACAGGTCAGTCAGATGAATTCCCTTGAACGAGAATTAGAAACAATTCATTTGGAAAATGAAGGCCTGAAAAAGAAACAAGTAAAACTGGATGAGCAGCTAGTGGAGGTAAGCTTTAAGCAAATGGCCATAGCTATGGAGAATATTTTAATCCATGAATGAGCCATTTGTTGGGAGAGACTAGCACAGTGTTGAATTCCTATTATGAAAAAAGTGAAAATCTAAGTATGCTGCCAAGCTGAATTCTTTGGTCTGTCTTAGCAAGTGTGATAGAAATTTTTGCTTAATTACACAGTCATACGAATTCATACTGCTTCACAGAGGAAGAAATAATGTCGATTATCCTAAAATGCAAGGACCTGTGCCTTAGCAAATTCAAGGGGCAGGGACTTTGACACAGGCCAAGAGGCCTGAGCTCTCTCGCCATTGCTGTGGTCGTGACAGATTCATGAGAACACCTCCGACACTGCAGTGTTTTATAGATCTGATTGCTATCTAAGGACCTCTTTAGCTGGGAAATCCATGTGGAGAATTGGAGAGCCCATTAGCATTTAGAAGTTTAGTTTTCAAGTATTGCCGTTGTTCATTACTATTGTAACTCCACACTATGTTGTGAGAGGTACACCTATCTGTTAAATATAAAAATGGATTTGTAAAACTTGTTAGCTTGGATGTTAGGTTTCCAGTCTACTGGGTACAATTATCAGATACAAAACAACCTAGGTGCAAATTCTCCTTAATAAGTAAAAATTTTACTGAGATACTTTTCTTTGGGTAGATGAAAATATCAATCCAACATTTAGTGAACTGTAAAATGCATTTAAGGTAAAGAGGCATATGTATACAAATATTTTTAAGCCAGAATTTAGGAAGGAAGAGAGAGAGTTAAATATTTTCTTTTATGAAGCTGGACACATGCAAAGGTAACTTTAAATAGACACTTGGTTTTCAAATGTGAAATATGGGCAAACATATCACCTTGACATTTCACTGACCACTGAGATTTCTGTCAATTTTATGTTCTCTGATTATCCATTAATGGAGAGATTAGTAAAACTATAAATAGTGAAATCCAAACCATTTTTTCTTTCTCTGACAGCATATAATAAATGTGTTCAAAACCTTGAGCTGTGGGCTGTGTTTAGATGTAGATGTGCTTTTCTGATGAAATAATTACATACTGTAGTGAATAAGATGTCTGAAGCCTGCCCGACGCTTCTAGACCAAACTGAAAAGTAACGGGTATTAATCACTGTCGGATTCTCTCCAGACATTCCAACGGCCCAGTTCCCCCACCTGCCCTTGCAAACCCCTTCTCTTCTAACACCACTCACGCTATTAGCCATCATAAGCCATGTCCCCTCATTATTTTTCTCCCTAATCTAGTAGTAAATATTTGCTACTGGATGAGGGAAATTGAGTGTTCTTGGCACTAGAGCTGAGTAACTAAAGAAAAAGCATGAATTTTCAGTTGGAGCACTGAAAAGAACATCTCATACACTGTCTATTCTAATGAAACTTTCTTTAGGAAATAAGACTGAGCTATTAACTCTGAATAGACCTATACAAATGGGATCCTCTAGCAGCTTTATTGAAATACAATTCACACACTGTGAGTTCACCCATTTAGAGTGTACAATTCAATGGGTTTTGGTGTATTACATTAATTTTTAAAACTGTGGTAAATATATACATAATAAAATTTGCCATTTTACCCATTTTTAAGTGGACAATTCATTGGCATTAATTACATTTATAATGTTCCACCACCATCATCACCACTTTAAAACTTTTTCCTCAATCCAAACATTAAGCAATAACTCCCATCCCCTCTCCCACCAGCCCGAAAATTGGATTTTTATTGACGTTATGATATCTATAGATTAGGCCAATTTGGGGGATGTACAGTGGTTTTCACACCATTCTTTGTGCCCAGCTCACCTGAGGGAGAGGTCCTTCCCTTCACTCTGGCAGTGCTTCTCATTGGAGTAGGGGGCACCAGGAAGCTGTTCCAATACCAGAATCTTTGGGATCAAGGAATTTCAGAAAAGCTTTCTAGGTGATTCTGATCTGATGTATGCACTCCCTTGAGGGAAGGAGTCTCTCTTTATCCCTATATGCCAGTTTAAAAGTCACTGATATAATATGGTACATCTCTCTACCCCAGTGTAGTTAAAGATCCCAAATCACTAGACTAGGGAATGGAAGTACTTGACTCCCACTCCAGGGCTTTTTCAACCATATGAGGCAATGTCCTATAAACGAGTCATTTTGAACACTCAAAAAAGGATTACAGACTGTATCAGCAACTCTCAATTCTGCTGTGTACCTCTGACAGCCAACAGTTCAGAAACTTGAACAACAAAATTGTCTTATAGTTTATATTCTGCATCTCCAAATGGCAAGGAATTTAACATCAGATCAATTCCACACTGGACCTGGAATCTTCTAAATAATTATGTTGGGATGGGTGGAGGAAAAGTTGGCTAGTTTGCAAACCACCCCGATGCCAACAGGTGAGGAAGTGGTTGCAGGATTAGAGCTATTGAGACATTTTAATATCTGTAAAATTTACATATGGAGAAAGATAATGTTGGTCCTTTATAAGTTCTTACTGACTAGAGCAGCAGAATCAGTAGACGATATACCCAGTTTGTGCCGTTCTTCCTCTACATAACTCACACTTTTCTTCCTCTTTTTATAACTCCTGTAATTCTCTTTGTTTGCTTTTGTTTTGCCTGTGGCTAACCTGTCCCTAGACCTCTGTGGTTGGAACTAGCAGAGAGGGGTGCCGTTCTCTGCCTGAGATAGTGTGTGAAGGTAGATCACTCTTTTTCCGTGAATTTCATAGCATGGAGACATCTCATTAAACTTGTTCGCGTAATCATTTCTACTGACCATAGCAGTTAATAATTACTTATGGTAAGAGCCAATATTCATTTTCATTTTGCTTTAGCTGTGGGACATGTCTGTTTATATTTACATCAGGATTTTCCTCAGTATTTAAGACGTGTGTGGAGAAAATCATCCCGCTGATATAAAGTCATGGGGTCATAATTCTCCATATTCTTTATTCCTGAAAATAAAGTGGTGGGTTTTCGGAATGTACAACTAGAAATATTTCAGAATGGGTAACGGCCCACCTCAGCAATTTAGATTTAAGGAAATGGATAGTGGCTCTGAAGTTTCATGATAACATTTAATTATAGTTGTGTCTTAGAGGGCCTTTTCCCTCCCACTAGCCTGAGTTGCTGCCTGAATCCAGGACGTGGTCATGGTTGTTGCATGCCCTCCACTGAGCTCTGTGTCTGCGGAATGTGCTGACAGACATGAAGTGCGTGCTTCCCCAGCCAAACGCAGTGCATCCTGGTCTCTTGTTTCCTCTCCCTGGCTTTGATTGGCATGTGATACACATACATTTCCTCCTTGTCTTGAACAAATACTTCTATTCCATGTATTTCACCTCCCAGATGTTCTGGGATAGCATCTTATGCTCCAGAATTGCCTGTCTTACCGTGCTATTGAAGAGTATAACGTTGATAACCAAGATAGGTTAAAATAATTTTAGATACAAGATGAGATTCTTTGAGAATATTGCTAACTTGGAAAATATGTAGTCATTGAATATTTGCTTTTAAGAATCTTTATGAATGGTAAGTAAAGTGGCAAAATCCTAAAGCATAACCCTTTCTCCCCAAAACCCTAGAGCATGACCACTTTCTGCCCTAAGCCCTAGAGTATGATCCTTTCTCCCCTTTGCCTGCCCCCACCCCAGTGGTGGTGGTAGTTTAAAGAGGGATAATTGAAGGTTCCAGTGTAAGAAAAAAATGAAGTAAAATTCAGAGATATTAAATCCATCGTGTACCTCATGGCCTTTTAGTCACTCAAGAGTGAGGACGTACAGTTTGTCTAAAACTCTTAAGAAGGCCTGCTTATTTACTAAGTATATTATCTCATAAGCAAAATGGCTCTCCCCGCTTCCTTCTCACTCCGGCTCACGTGCTGTCCTGTTCTCAGCTATCAGTGGGTCTGCGAGGCCGTTAGTGAATTCATGGCTTCACTGCTCCTGCTTGACGCTTTCCAGGCAGCTCTGGGATGGAGGTCCTGCCACTGACCCGGCTTTGCCCTTGTCCTCCAGATGCAGCACCTGAGGGCCCCTGTGATGCGTAGCCCACCCCCTCCCACCTGGGACCTGCAGCTGCCCCAGCAGCAAGCCTGTCCGACGGTGCCCCGGGAGCAGTTTCTGCAGCTTCAGCGCCAGCTGCTGCAGGCGGAAAGGATAAACCGGCACCTGCAGGAGGAGCTTGAACACAGGACCTCTGAGACCAGCACGCCACAGGTAGAACACTCTTTTGTCCTCTGATGGTAAACTCACTCACCTAATTTAATGTTACTGTTCATTTGAAAGCTCTACCAGTTCTTGGGTGGGGATAAGAAGCAAAATCTTCGGTCAGGGAGTTACACCTCACCTGCGTTGCAAATCCACACAACTGCAGCGCTGTTTTTGCATTCGGCAGCTCTGCTTTTGAGCCCTCAGCTTCTAAGCTGGGGAGTGAAGTGCTCCGGGTCTCCTGTGCACATTCGTGATTGGAGAAGTACCAGGATCACTTGAGCACAGTGCACAGTTGACCTGAGGTTCACATTCCAGCATTCGAGTGCAGCTCTAGCATGCAGAGCACTAACAGTGTCCTGGCCACTCCTGCACCAGAGGCCGTGGCCTGCCACTCCAGGGAGTCCACGGTGGGGACTGTCCACTGCTAATAAAGCTGGGTGTGTAGGCACTGACTGTTTTCACTTGACATAGTTCATTTAACTTTATTTTTTAAAATGATGATGTTTGAAAAACTCTTTTTAAGAAAACAAAGATCATCTTCCCCTTCCTTTTGAATTAGCTTTATCCCAGGTCACTACCAGACACAATCTTATATTACCTAGGTTTATCAAATAGTTCTCTTTAATGCTTCATTCATAATCATCCTTTTCAGAAGTCTCTTAACTCTTTGGTCTTGCCCATTTAGTTTATTCAGAATTAGGAATAAAATAAAAAAATACTCCTTAGTTTGTAGAATTCTAAATTAATTCTTTCTGGTTTGGATGCTCTTCCTCTGTTTTCATATATCTTGCCTTTCAGTTGACATTGGATATGGAATTTCCAGACTCTTTTTCTGTATCCCCCTTAAAGTGGCTCTGCAAAGTCACATTAGCACTAGAATTATGCACTGGAGCAGTTCTGTTTTCCTCTCCTAGTATATAGCTATGATTTGTCATGAGGTACTTCTGTCATCTTTCTAACAAAACTTTCAAAACTTTTTTTGTCTTTTGTGCTTTAATATCCATGTCTTTGGAAGCTTCCTACATCCCACTTTAATTTCCAAATATTAAAATAAAATTATTGAATTAAAATTGTGATGGTGGCATGTTGGATAGATGCTTCAACTCTTCATTACAGAATAGAATTATAAAACCTTGACCTTCAGTTTTTAATGGACATTTTAACCCAAATTATTCTACTCATTTCTCTCTCATACACACTATTTTCAAACTATGATCTTCCCAACCTACCCATCAATGTTTAAAAATAAAAAAATATCCTTTTACTCCAGTTACTTCGGGATCAGATGGACAAAAACTAATAAGATTTTTGTACTAAAAAAAAAATTCCTCCAGTCAGATGGCAGGGTGGACTGCCATTGCTCTCACTAGAGTGCCACTGCAACCACTTCTGTTTCTGGCACCTGAGCTGACACTAATTCTGAGCATACAGAGTATTACCAGAATCTGCGTGCTGTCTCTGTGTGTGGAGTGATGTGATTCTTCTCCCTTTGTGTCACTTTGCTTGCATTTGTTGTGTTAACGTGTGTGCTTTTAAGGATTGTTTGCATTATAAATGTGTGAATTTAGACTCCCCCTAGAAAACATAATTCGGACATCAGGGTGAAGTGTACCACTTGCCTTCTCTCTCTAGGCCTTGCTACCGGAGCAGCGAGCAGTGCACGCAGATTCCTACAGAAGGATTGGGCACCTGTGAAAACTGGGCTGCTATTGATGGCATTTCTTACACGGCAGATACTCACATAAGCACACACCCATACACACCACACATCACACAAACACACAGACATTAGCTGAGAAGTGTTTGGGATTCAAGTGCTCTTTTAAATGTTATTATTTGTTGTATTATTGATTTTGCCTCTGCAGTATTATGTCTCTAATTTATTTATGTGGAAATGACAGATTTTGTGAATCAAATTCATGAATTTCAACTTGATGCAAATCATTTTATTTATACCATTTAAAGAGTGTGGATTTGAGATTCTTGAAAGGATGTATTCTATATATTTTCTCATTCCATATGTTGTAACTATTTTTAACAAAAGGTACTACTTTTATATATGGAATTTGAAGAAAATCAGGGTTATTTATACTGTTTTGTATAAGATGTATAATACTTTTTTGACGCGAAAAGGGAAAATTTTGATGAAACAATAAAATAAATTTTAAATCTACAACTGCCTTTGTTTTTTCTCTTTCCTCACTCTTTTCCTATGCTCCATGTTCTTCAAATTAATTATGTTATTATGGTGTTTTTGTTTTGCTTTGTTTTTTTTTAAGGCAAGCAGATGTCAGGCATTTTCCACTTATGTCTAAACTTTAAAAAGCCATATCTTTTAAAATATAGGATTTTTTTTAAAGATCAGTGTTCTCAAGGCTTGATTTCTTGAAATTTACTTGCTGCATTAGACTTTCTTTACTACAATTTTTGTCTTCAACTTAGTCAAACTAGTTGTTTTTTTAATGTTTAAATAAATGCTATTATGTACTCTCCAAACGAATGTTGGCTTTCAACTCATGTTCAGTTGTTCTGCATGCTTTTAAAGGATGCCTTCTGGAGCATGCTTTTCGAGGCAGGCTTGCCCTCGGCCATGATGATGTTTTGCTTAAACACTTGAGAGCCTTTCACGACAGAAGTTCCGTGTGTGGACACCGTGGACTGGGGGGCACTCAGCTGCACCCTCTCTCTCTAGGTCTCTGCTCTCCAGAGCCCACATTCCCTAACCCATCGCTGTTGTGCGAGGAGAGCGGGAGAAGCCAGGGCTCTTTTCTGCCCTCGTTTTATCTAGGAGTTGTTTGTGGGGAGGAGATTCTTAATTTTAGATCTGTTCTGATGGTAAACCCATCCTCCAGTCCAGATGTTTGCCTCACATTATTGACATGTCCAGTTGGGAAACAGCTGAGTAGAAAAACTGCCAGGAAGAGGCTGATTATTATGGAGAAAGCACAGTAATCAGTGTTTCAAAGGCGAGCCAGACACACATACTGAAGCTGACAGACAGGACAGGCGATCCTGGATGGACTCAGTTTTCGTTTTGTTACTGAGAGGCCCCCAGTACTGCAGATGGAAGGTGGACTCCCATCTTTTAATTTACTCTGGATACCTGTTTTACTAGAAGAAGTGCACGGGTATCAAGTTATGGTTTTGTGAATTTTGCTTTATCTCAGGGGAAGATGGTAACACAGGTAAGTTTTTCTTATCTTCGATTCTTTCTCTGATAGGGTTACTTTTCTAACATGTGCAACCCATGCAGTGCTCAGAAGCCCCATTTCATCAGAACTCCACCCTTGCTGTTACAAGGGCGAACCTCTGCTGTCCTTTCTCTAGGCCTCTTACAGGGAAATAAACTGCTAGTGCTTTCTTTTCAGTGTGGCGTGATTTGGAAATGATAATAGACTCTTTCTTCCCTTCAGGGAAACCAGGAACAGCTGGTAACTGTCATGGAGGAACGAATGATGGAGGTTGAACAGAAATTGAAACTGGTGAAGAGGCTTCTTCAGGAGAAAGTGAATCAGCTCAAAGAGCAAGTGAGCCTCGGGCCATCCGCCCGCCCGCCTCACATCCCACCTGTAACTCCAGCTTTACACCCTCCTTTACAGCCATTAACTTGTTGGCTTTTGTTGTCTAATGAAGGCAAGTTCTATAAATACACAGAATTTAGGATTTGCTCTTCCATACTACTTTCAAAGTATGAATTCTGGATTCTGTGTTATTTTTTCCAAAGTTCTTTTAAGGTATATGTTTGTCCACAGTTTTAAAAATTTGCTAACAGTGACTCACATAGTCCCAAAGCATTTCTAATGAGATTCAGCAGCTCAAATTGAACTTTTATAGCTTTTTTTTCTTTTTGCTCAAGACAAGAAATATTTCAATTTAAATAAACAGAAATTTTATATTGGTAAAAAGTTGGAGGATAATAGATAGAACTTTAGCTTTCCTGTCTGCAATAGCTATGACAACCTCAAAAAGTACCTATAGCTATAGCCAACCCCCTACAGGCTATGCTTTGAATTAGAATCCAGGACCACTAAGCAGCCTGGTCCTTTTCACCTGCTGGTGGCAGCTGTGGCCTCAGAGTTCAGAAATTTTTTGTCCATCTGCTGAAGAGACATGCTAAAAGGACTACTTTTTAGGAAAGTTTTATAACTTCTCTGGAAACTGAGATTGAGATGGGGGAGGGGGGGTGGGTAGGGAGGCAGGAGAATTGCCCAACCTAGTTTTCTAGATAGATAAAACCTAAGAAGAAGAATCCCAAGAGAGGGTCTTAATGCAGAGGTAGACAGGAACTTTCCATTGCCCTATATCTTAATACACAGAATGGAGAGAAAGAGAAAGTCCTGTATGATGAGCATGTATTGATTCAATCCTTTAATTGTCTTTATTCAACATATAGTAACTATGTTCCAGGTCCTGGTCTAAGCACTAGAGATACAGCAGTGAATGAAACAAAACCCCTGCGCCTATGGAGTCTAGTTCACCTCCAGGGTACTGAGCATTTGGCCAGGTAGTTGTGTCAAAAATAAAGAAAATGGGATCCACTTTATTTTCAGTAGAGGAGACACAGAAAAAATACTTGATCCAACCCAGGGAAGTTTAAAGAAAGTTTCCTGAAGGCCTCTTAAACCAAGTATTGAGGGTTGAGTAAGACTTGAACAGGTGAAGAAATGTGGGAAGGGCATTCTAGGCCATGGGAACATCATGGAGTTAGACAACATATGGGGTGTGGACATCCACAAACACTTTGGCATTAACAGTTCTTACTGTCCTGGGAGAAGCAGAAGAAACTAGAGAGATAGGGAGGAGCAGGCGTAGAGGGTCTTATGTGCTGAGCCGTGGAGTTTGAATTCCATTCTGTAGGTAATGAGGAGCCATCAGAGTATTTTTTAATAGAAGGCAGGCAGGGGGGGAGGAAAAGCTGTAATAGGACAGTTGGGTAGAGAGTAGTCAGTATGTTACACTTGCCAGCCATCTAGCTTCAGGGCTTCAGTGTGATAGCCTTTATCACTGCCCTCTGAAGTGCTAATAAGTTAACTAGCCACTCTTTAGTTGTTCCTTATTCCCTTAAACCTCTAAACTTGTAGATGCCCTGCTTGAAACTGGGTGTCAAATGAGTTAAAGGTATAATGAGGGAAGGGGGATTGGAGGACATTAACAGGAGCAATAACAAAATTATCCCAGGGCTGCTGACTAGTTTCCCCACCCTCGCCTAGACTCTATTCTAACCATAAAGATTAGAATATCTTTTCTAGACAAGGCTCTATGCAAAAGAGGAAGAGTTAAAGAATGGTAAGTGCACAAGTCTTATCTCTTTGCTATACTACATGAGCCAGATCCTTAAATATCACTAGGTCGTAGCTATGAATGGGAGGCTCAGGCTTCTGTTGTTAAGAACTGAGTTTAACACAGTTCACACCCTACACCTCAGAAATTTAAGTTATAAAAGTATTTTGATATTTTTAGAAGCTGAATAAAGGAATAATACCGAATTTATTTAGATGGGGGAAACTTTCATTTTTGAGCCCTCAATCTGTTCTTTTTGTTAGTGATTTCTACAAACATACTATGCAAAGAAACAGCTTGAAATCAGTGGATTTGCTCCACTTGTATCCCTGATGCCAGGTCTGATGTAAAAGCTGTATTGTAAAATAAAAACATCATTGATAGAAGCCATTTGCCTTCATAAACAACTGTCCTTATGTCAGACCTTAAACTTAAAAGAATTACAGAAATGGAGTCAACATGTTTCTGGTTCTGTTTCTAGCTCTGCAAGAATACGAAAGCAGATGCGAGGGTGAAGGATTTGTATGTTGAAAATGCCCAGTTATTGAAAGCTCTGGAAATGACTGAACAGCGACAAAAGACAGCAGAAAAGAAAAATTACCTCCTAGAAGAGAAGATTGCCAGCCTCAGTAACATAGTCAGAAACCTGACACCAGCACCGTTGACTTCTGCACCTCCCTTGAGGTCATAGCAAAGCCAAAGGATACACTCGTTTTTGTGCACTTTACTGAAATGGATGGAACATTTCAGTACCTTCTTGCAACCTTTTTTTTTAAAAAAAAAAAAATACCTTTAATGGCTTAAAGTTAAGCCTAACCTAAAACGGCCAGCGACAGAGCTGGAGTCTCCAGTTATTGTAGTTAGTTTTTCTAAATAGACTCTGATGAGAGTTGCAAACAAATATTCACGTTTCATTGTTTGAATTATTCCCAAGTTTTGAATTTTTTAAAAATAATTCTAATAGCCACCAAGAAAGTAGATACATGAAAACAATTCAAGAACCTTAAAACCCCAGTTCTAGATGAGTTTTTAAAAATTATCATTATGTACAAATCTGTGTGTAAATTCCAGATAATTGAAGTTTGAGATCTGATTATTTGGTTATTTTAAAACAAAACTATGCCTTCTTACACATTTAAATTTGGAAAAGTCATTCTGTTTCTAATAGTTGTGGTTCTTTGAATTAATTGGTAGACTTTCTGTTTGGTAACAGAAGCCGTGCTCAATAACCACTGCAGTCAGAAAAGCCGAGTCCGTAGCACTCTGCCTTCTCACACCTTCTGACAGTATTACCACTCTTGATGTATTAAAAATATAAATCTAATTTACTCAACTGCACTGTTAACTAATGTTAAAACTTTTCTTTAAACAGACTTTTTTTTCCTTTGGGAACTTGTCTTCTGAGAAATGGATAAAGCCACATTCTTACAGCATTTGAGCTATAGAGAAAGCACTGACAAACCATTTTGGAGTAAACAGCTACTCTTTGAAGGGAAAGAAGCAAACCATGTGGGTTTGTCTCTCTCTCAAGTCTTGGAGTTCATGAACTTACATTTGAGGTTGCCTCAAGAACTCAGGGAACAATACTTTAAGCTGTCTTCCTGAAATACTGTAGGGCTTCTTCAAGAATTCACGATGTATAAACCATGTGACCTTATTTATTTGTCTTTAGAGCGATAGTGGGATTTTTATTTCTACATTTTTAGTGAACTTACTCTTCTGAAACAAGGCCTTGATTTTAGCGTTAAAAACCTCTTCTAAATTATGGAAGTTATTATTATTAGCTTGTTTGTTTGTTTAATATAGGTCAAAATTTCCACGCTTCCTATTTCTCTAGATCTCAAATCTGACCATAAGGATTTCTTACTGTGATAAGCATTGGCATGCTATCTGAGGGAAGGGAGTGCCAAATAGGATTTTCCATTCAGCTCAAGGTCAGAACTTTACAGAACAGTCAACATTTTAGATTGGATAACATTTTCTCCCAAGTAAAATCGCTGCTTCTAGCCTGAATCAGCCAGCAGTCGGTGGAAGACTTACGAGGTGCAGGACGCTAACAGAGCTCATTGCAGTCACCTGTTTGTCTTCCTAGGAGAGAAATTAGATAAGAAAAATTCACTGTGATGTATTCCAGGAAGGCCAACCCATCGATTTACGAGAGGTATAACAGCAAAATCAAAGACTGCTTTGTGGGCAGCAGAAAAGATGGAGCAAGCTGCCTAAGGAGTTATATCATGTCAGAAACTCAATCTCTACAGAATAGCTTGCATCCAGGAACTTTGGCATTCTTTGGGGCCTAGCTGTCTGCTATGAGTCCCGCCGCCAACACAAGAGTCCTTCCTACAAGGCGCAGTGGTTTGTCGGACTGGGAGTTCACACTCATGAAGCAGACTTTTTCATTTTTGGACAGCTCTCATCAGAAAGTCCAGATTTCCCCCTGGAAAAAGAGTTGATTTTAATCCTTCACCCTACAATTACACTTCAAAACAGCTGATATCTGCTATCATGCCTTCCCTAATCTTTCTTCAGTGTAAACATTGCTAGTAAACTCGACTACTTGTAGGGCATTGGCTTTAACAGAGCATCTTTTTCACTTAAAACTGTGGATAGGTCTAGACTAAGGTCATAAGTAAACTGACATCTGGGGCGTAGTTTTGTGATATGCTTCAAGGTATTCAGGGTTATCGCCATCAGAAGCGAACACGAGCATATTTCTCAACTAGCTGTTTTAGCATATGATCACGTGTTGTATTTTACTTTTGACATTATGAAAAGTATAGGTTAATTTGTTATAAATCTGTATGTATGTGTATATAAAGTGCTGTACAATTAATGTAAATATGACTTCCTGGAAAGTTTTAGACTACACTTAGAATCCCTTTATCCAAAATCAAAATGCTGCTCAAATGAAAGCTAATTTAACCAATATCTAGGTGCTTCATTTCTTGCTTTACTGCACTTACGAGATTGGAAAACAGATCAACGTGAGAAATATAAAGTTCCCTTGAATTTATACATTTGTGCTGCAGTGTATCTTTGCAGACTGCTTTAGAGTGGGAATTTAACTAGCAATTTATACTATAGCTTACAGCTTTTAAAAGACCTTTTAAAGAGATGAAATTTAAGCTGTTCAAATTAAATGTTTAGATTGTGCTTTCAGACTTTATAATAGAATTCCTTAAAATCACAAGTTATGCATTATTTTATAGAAATTTAGCTGCTTATTTGCACTGGCTGTTAAACTTTCTTTTGATTGCTTAAGGACGGTTATTTAAATTAGTTTTAGAAGATGGGATCCTCATTTCAAGGAAAGAGAATCAAGTTTGCCTTTGTGATAATGATAGTTGCACTAAGAAAAGGAAAATGTGGATGGTAAAACCTACATTGTTCTGTTTTGCTTTCTTCTGCTTTTTAGAAGCCTGAACTTGCAAGCTCAAATTTGCGAAGGGAGAGAAGTAGAGGGGAGGGCTAGGACCACCACAGTATTTTATTTATTTTTCTAAAACTCTTAATAAACTCAGATTTTAAAAACTATTTTAAAAGTGAATCTTTCCCAGCAGCTTCCAGTGCATTGCTAATATATTTAATCTGAAGCGTATTTTACGTAAGTAGATCACAAAGTCATAGGCTGTCAAGATATAGGAGGAGCTCTTACAGGTCTAGTGTGTCAATCATGCACCAATGCCCAGGGCAGATATTATTATGAGGAGCTTTTTTTTTTTTGAAGAATGAGTAAGGCTTTATGGCAGATTTTAACACATGAGAATGAATTTTTTATTTGTGTGATTTTTCTTTTTTTCTGAGTAAGGGAAAAGAGAAATGTGTTGCTATTGTTGGCATCTTAAAGGTACTCCCAATCAAGGCCAGGCTGGGTGCTTTGTAACAGTATTAAGCAAGTCTGGTTTTGAATGGATTGCCTGTAACGACTCATTGGAATGATATAATTATACAAGTAATGCCAAAAACCAAGTCAAAGCCTAATAACCAAAGCATTCCATATTTAAAACTTATTCATTATATCTTGTTTGGACCTATTTGAACATCTCAGCACTATGAAATGATTTTGGTTTTATGGCATATGGATAGCTGTTTAATAATAAATCCAAGTTAGCTTTTTGTTTCTCAGCTTTTTTGAATGATGTAAGTTAAATTTATTCTTATGAGAAGACATTATCACAGCATGATAGACGGGTACATTGGTTTTGTGAAGGAAAACCTGAGTTCATCTAAAGCCGTTGCTAGGATTCTTTTCAGATAAAGATGAATGTATATGTGTTTATAGTGACTTTGTGTATTTCATCTTAGCCATTCTATCCTAGAAACAATTTAACGTGAGCTTAAAATGTAAATAAATACTTTTGCAAACATGGCTCTTGTTTTCTAAACACCATGAACTTTTATAAACAGTTTCAGTGTGTTTACCATTGGTCTGAGGAATGAAAGCATCAAAATATTACACTAAGCATTCTACAAATGCAGAACGTCACCCCGAACGCCAGACCTAATGAATCAGATTCTGCACTTTAAAAAACTCCCCAAATGACCTGTATGTGATTTACAGCACTGGAACTCCATTTCTGTCACAGAATTGGTATCTTTCACACCAGCCATTTTAGGGTCCCTGTACCCTGTTGTAATGGGCTCCCTGACTCCTGACTTACTTCTAGAATCCTGACTTAACCTCAGGCAAGGACCTGCTTGGGACTTTGGGTGCTTCAGAGGTGGCTTTATTTCCCTTCACCATCTTTATTGGTGATGCAGACTTTCTTGGTTTAGCTGCTCATGAGTGATGAGATATACGCAACTTTAGGCACAAAAAGTCAACCTGAAAGCACGTTAACATGCTGACTACTGAAATGTAGAATGGAAATATTGGCCAAACTAGGCCCATCTGATGAGCCTTGTTTTATTTATTTTCAAAGCTTTTATACCATCTTCACGCTGCCTTTATGAAGCAGGAACTATTACTATCCCCATTCTACAGATGAGAAAACTGAAACACAACAAAGTTGTGACTTTCTCAAGGCCACACCGCCAGCTAAGCAGGGACCCCAGGACTCACGCCCAGGTCTATTTGTAAGGATATACGGAAACACTCGTCTGAATTTCTACTTCTGGCAAACAACAGTTAATCAGTGTTGATTGAATACCTACCCTGTGCACTGCACTCTAAAGAAAAATATAAAACGTTCCTGGTTTTTGTTTACCATCTGATTGCAGTAGAGTAGTAAGATTTATGCAGAAAAAAGATAGACATCTGCACAGAAGACAATCGAGTTTTGTTGATGGACCCAGTGCTTTGGGCTCTGAGATAAGGATGATTAGTGTCAGGTGTTTCCGTGTAGAAAATGGGGAAGCTCTTAACCCATCTTTAAATGTAATTCTGCACTTCATTGAGATTAGTGTAACCTGTTTGTTTTGTAGTCTTTTATTCTTTTTGCATTGAAAAAGTGATTTTCTCTCTATATATACCTGATGTCCATTTTCCCATAATAATGGTTGTTTTGTCCAGAAGACCAGAATTTTTACCTAAATTATGCAAAATGTCTAATCTGTTGACTGAAAAGTTAAACTTAATCTAGATAAAGTATGTCATAAGTCACAAAAAGTATTTTTTATTCATTGGTTGGTTTTGCTTCATTTGCAAAAGAATGGCTAATTTTGACAAATGGATATTTTTAAAAAATAAAAATTAAAACTCTATGAAGGAGAACTGTAAAACTGAGTCAGTGAAATGTTGTAAACTAAAGAGTAGGCAACCATGTAAAATAGAGCTGGATGCCCTCATGTTAAGTAATATTTAATTCTGAGAAATAATTATGTGAGGTATGCTTTACTATTTAAGGCAAAGTAAACAACTCTGAACAGTCCTTACAGCCCAGATGAGCATTTACCAATCGTTTTTCCTTCCTGTTTGGAGATTTGTCTCAAGATCTCAAGCAATAAATAAGCTGGAACTGCGTGCCAGGCACTAAGATGTGGTCCAGCATTGAAATGCTGTGGACAATAAAAAGAGGCTATTCCTCAAGTGTCCATGTTATAAAGAGATTTTTAAAAGCCTGTGGAAATGTTGTAACTTAAAGGAGACTAAATAGCCATGACAAATGAATGCAATACCTAATTCTAGACCAGATTCTATATTGGAGAATAAAATATGCTATAAAGACATTATTGGGTCTATTGGAAAAATTGGTATATGGACAGTAGAATAGAAAACAGTTTCATATCAATGTTAAGCTTACTGAAGTTGGTAACTACTGTGTTTATGTAAAAGGATATTCTAAGGAAATACACACTGAAGTATTTAGGGATATACAACCAGGATGTATGCAACTTAAATGATTCAGAAACACAAAATTACAGAAAGAATAAAGCAATGAAGCAAAATGTTAAAAATAGGTAAAGGATATGCAAGAATTATTTGCAGTATTTGCCTTATTCTTGCAACTTTAAGTTTGAAGTTATTTCCAAATAACACGATTAAAATGTTATAGATGGAAATTTACTAAGTGTGAAACTAGGCACTTCTCTTAGCCTTCCTCAGCCTCGCAGCCGCTCTGGAGAGAAGAGGGAACTGACTAGAAACCACTGTGGCAGCCTGCGCACGTGCCTATAGTCTATTATGGAAAGTTCAGCAGAACAGACATTTTGCCTGTTTTCCTGGGAATATATTAAATGGGAAAACCTGGGGGAGACAGACAGTTGGCAGAAGAGGTAAAAGCCAGAAGAAAGCATCAAGGGTCCATAATGTATGGGAGGGGCTGTAAGGAAATGAATCCCACACACAAATGACGGTCACAAAGCAACACTTACAGGCCCACCAGGGGCTCAGGACATTTCTAGTAACTCTCTCTCTACACTTGACAGCACACAAGTATTTATTTTTCCTGAGGTAAGAGACACACTTTATCCATGTTTACAAATGCTCTTACTCTCCTGCTACCTCAGGAAGAATTTGACTCAAAGAAACGGAAACCTGCTCTGGCTAGTTCAAGTGAAATACCGTGAGAAATCGTTTATTTGATGGAACCAAAGGGAGGAAAGGTAGACTGCAGAGGTATTAAAACAAAGACCTGTGGGCTTGCCCTGCACCCCCTCTTCTCTGTCCCTCTCTCTCTCATCACACAGTCTGTTGTTTTTGCTTCTCTCTCTGCACCTGTGTGTCAGGGGAGAGGGGGTGTTCGTTTCTCCTGCTTTATATCACTTTCCTGTTCAAGTGCCAAATAGAGTCCAACAATTACTTCCAAGTCACAATTCCAAATTCTTAAAGAATCTGATTGACCAGGCAGGGTCCTTCCATAATCCAATCAACCATGGCCAGCAAGGGTCAGGGTCCTGGGGTACAAAGAGCAGAGGCCACCACAGGAGAGAGAATACTCTCCAGACAAGGGGTTAGAGTCGCAGTGAAGGAAATTTGGCTAAAATGTGTAGCTAGTAGATAAAATTGGCTTTAAAGATAGGATTTCAAAGACAGATATCCCCGTTTACTCCCAGTTTTAGGGAGGAGTACTGCCTATTCAAAGATAGCATCAGTTTAAAATGCCACCTAGTGACAAATGCAGCCACCCACTATTGCTCATGCTATTCCTATCTTTTGTCCTTGTCCCCGCCCCCACTCCTTTGTCCTGATTCCTACATGTTCTCCAGATATCACATACCAAGCTTCATCAGGGCATCCATCCAAGTCACAGTGGGTATAATAAATGACAGCCACCTTATCCTACTTAAGTGGCACAATCCTATAGCAACTTACCATTTAAAATGGGAAGGCAACAGTTATGGGCCTTTTAAAATATATAATTAAACAAGGTTTAAATTTGGTACTAAGACCATACATAAAAGAATTTTACTGAACTTTTTCGAGATATCTTGCTTTACTCTAGAAGACTGGTGAAGGAGCCCCGCCCCTCCAGTGTGCTCGCATAAGCACCCCGTGAGTTCTCAGGCGAGGCGGCTACCACTCTGCGCTTGCCTACTGACTTATCTGATCTCCATTAGACTCAGATCTTTTAAGACAAGAACTGGTGACTTATTCACCATGTATTTCTAGTTCCCAACTCAATGCCTGAAACAAAATTGGTGCTCAATTAATATTATTAAGTGGATGGAAGAGTGTACATTTCTATTTTGAGTTCGTCACCCTGTAATGGCACTCTTAAGAGAATGTATGCTAATTGTTTTATGTATATGATTTAATGGTGTTCTTCTCAGTCTTCTTTATTCTTTATTAAAGGACCAAAGTTTTAAACATATTAGCAAGGAATTGAGGAAAATTTTCCAAGTAATTTAAGGAAAAATCACCTTTCAGCATGATAAAAAATCAAAAGCTATATTCCAACAGTTAAAAGATTACATTTCCCTTTTGGGCCCATAAATCACAATCTAATAACTCTGACAATAAGTAGTACAAGCTCATGACATTTACTCTGATAAGTGATTTATAAAGACAGTGTAACACGTTAAATATCACTTTTTTCTAAAGAGAAGGACAAAATTCTGATGTGGTTTTTTTTTTGGTAGAGATGCTTGGCTTAAGTTATCTCACATGACATTGCAATTGTTTAATTTTTGTTATTCAATAAATTGCCACATTCTCATGTCTCTGGAAGCAAAAATTTAAAAGCTGTTTCATGTTCTGATTACAGGTGGTGGAGTGAGCCTCTGTGTCTAGGTTTGTGCCTGGAAGTGATGTAAATGTCTTCCTACAATAAATTGTCACCCACCTACCTGAACCTAACAATCCCATGATACAAGAAGGCTGTCTCTTCCCATCCACTCTTCTTTATTTCTATTCTCCTATCCATTAGACATGTAGTTTAAAATGAAGGTAGACAAGGACCAGGGCCACCTCAGAATAATCCCTAAAATCTTCTCCCAAAATGAAAAATAACTTTGACTCTTCCTAAATTCAAAGACGATATGTATATTTTTGTGCGTGTGTGAGGAAAATTGTCGCTGAGCTAACATCTGTGCCAAGCATCCTCTATTTTATGTGGGACGCCGCCACAGCATGACTTGACCAGTGGTGATAGGTCTGCACTTAGGGTTCCAAACCGTTGAACCCCAGGCCACTGAAGTGGAGTGCGTGAACTTAACCACTATGCCAGCAGGCCAGCGCCTCAAAGATAACACATATTTTAAAAGAATATTCAAAATAAAAGGGAAAAGCACTATAAAGAAAGTAAAAATTACCCCAATCGTACCATCCAGTGGTAGCTACTGTTAACATTTTGGTGAACTCTCTTCCAGGCATAATTCTATGCTAACATATGCACACACATTCACACTTATACAATTTTATGTAGACGATAGCACACATATACTTGTGTATACACATGTATACACACAGTCACACGTCACTTAACAACA